ATGGGTATACAAGGCTAGAGGAGACATAAAACAACCAGGACGTTTCGGGCCAATTACATGCCCATTCTCAACTGGAACAGAAGCTAAAAATGTAAAAATTAAAACGAGAAAATGAGCATGCAACTGACCGAGGTAGGAATCAGTGCAAACTGAAAAACAGAGCAAAGATGGACAGAGGGGCACTATCACCTCCTTGATAATAGGCCAACCTCTACACCTACCAAGGAGTATTTATAGAGGCTCTTCTCTACCACAGAAAAACTGATGATAGGATTCGCTCAATCCATCTATGTCAGCTCTAAAGTTGCATAGATCACCTTATTATTGACGATAATTATCATCTCCAACACACATTTTTATCCTCTGTTCCAGTTGAGAATGGGCATGTAATAGGCTCGAAACGTCCTGGTTGTTTTATGTCTCCTCTAGGCTTGTATACCCATTTGTTTTTTGTATTTTAGTATTTTAGTGACATCTTTAAATATACTTCCATCGAAATTGTATTGCATTTTTTAAACAGGAACCAAGAGCATTCCGATGTTGCTAGATTGTACAACTCCATGCAATAAAATTACTGAAATCCTGCAAAAAACTAAATTTACAAGAATAATATTTGTCTTGAATCTATAATTTATTGGGAGTAAAGGTGAAATTGGTAAAAGTAATCAGTGTATGTTTGTAATGTAAAAAAAGTTGCACAATTTTGGCGACATTGGAATACTCTTAGTTTCTTATTGCAAAATGCAATCCAATTCATACTTGAATTATGTTCCATCTAAAACAATTTGACTACAGGCTCCCTGGTTCAAGTTAAAAAATAATATTAATTAATTGAAGGTGACCTATAAAATGATCTTCGTAAAAAATCGTTAAATGTTATAAACATTTTTCATCATGATTTATCTAATAATGCTGATGCTGAGGTAATCTTAGAATATATGTATGAGTGATGAATGGGGTTAAAATAATAGAATAATTGAATAAGAATTGAACGAATAAATGGAATTGATTTGATAATAATTGAATAATTTAAGGATAGATGTTTAAAACAATCTCTCACTTGCAGAGTTTAAAAAATATTATCTTTCCTGAAAAATATGAAAATATCTACAGAATTCCTCTCAACTGGCACACTAAATAGTGACGCATTTCGACTAAAAACTTTAGAAAGCTGTATTTTCGCATTTATGATGTCTATGAGTTTCGGGGATATACGCATATTGCTATATCGCCTTCAATTTCGCGGTAGGCCAAAAGCATCACCCGTTCAGCAATGATTACGTACCTACGTGTAGATTTCTGTCTTGCGTTGTACGAGGGTCGTCCAGTAAGTAAGTTTACCTATTCAATATCTCCTAAATTAAGATAGGTAGAGAACACCTGTAAAAAGCGTTGAAAAGCCACTACTTTCAGCTCTATAACGTGCTATTGATTTTTAAATTTGGTTGAATAAAACCCTAGAAATGTGCGTTTTTCTGAACCCACCTCCTCTCCGCACGGGTTCAAAATTTTACGGAGCTTCATTCGCAAGTGAGCCACTGTGTCTATCGCTCATGGCAAAAAAGTGGCTTAGAGGTGGTTGAAATATATGTAAAACATAAGTAAGGACACTCTCCAACGAGCAAATAGCAGGATTAGTCTTGTTCACTTCAAAATCAGTTGCACCCGAGCAAAATTTCACAAAATTGTCAACGTTCATTCTCACTAGCTAACCGAATCCTTCATAAGAATTCAAGTTATCCTGCCCGTTCTCGAAGAATTTCGTCAAAGATGCATGATTTGGAAAAATATGCAGCTTTTGCAACTCTTTAACCATGAATGAACCTGAATTTGAACAGCTAGGGTCACCTTTCTTGGCAAGAGGACAAATAATATAGCTCAATTCAGACACCGAAACCAAATTCAGCGTTACAACTCTACGAGTTGACTAAAGGTAGCTTAATATTTTCACGTACTGCAGTCCAAACCTACCGATCATCAACGTAAACACGGTCAATCCTGCTATTTCCATGTTGGAAAATGTGTCCTTCCTTATGTTTTACATGCGTCTCACTCACATCTAAGCCACTTTTTTGCTATGAGCGATAGACACAGCGGCTCACTTGCGAATGAAGCTCCGTATAATTTTGAACCCGTGCGGAGAGGAGGTGGGTTCAGAAAAGGCCACATTTTTAGAGTTTTATTTAGCCAAATTTAAAAATCTATAGCGCATTATAGAGCCGAGAGTAGTGGCTTTTCAACGTTTTTTACATATTTTTTCAACCTATCTTAGTTTAGTAGAGATTGAACAGGTAAACTTACTTCCTGGACAAGTGGACAACCCTCGTACATTGCGTTGCCTCGCAGTAAATTATGTCTAATTTTACCAAATTCATTCTCTTCTTATCTGTGAGTAATCCTTGCATCAGTTGTACTCAGTTTCCGTTGTTCGTTTTGTCAAGCTGCTTATCTTCCACTAAGTTCATGGATCAGAAATTATTAATCGTTTAGTCATTCCGAAAACACTTGCATCATTTTCACAGTCGGCGCAGTTGTTTCCAAACTCATTTTAAGTGGTATGTTGTTTATACATAATAGATAATTTTCAGTGTTGATTTTAAAGGATTTAACGAATTATTATTTTATGGGAAGGATTTATGTATCAAATTTATTTTAAAAAATTTCCCTTTCTGTTAACATGAAGAATAACTTGAGGATTCCTCAATTTAAACCCTTGTATATGCGCTGTCTATTTTAATTAATTTTAGTTGTAAATTTAACTCACAAAAAACCATGTCATTCCTCTGGAAAACCGTGGCCTTATTCTTCCTCCACCAAGCTCCTTGAATAATAATGGGTTTTAATTTAGTAAAAAAATTTATGAATAGTTACAGTACGTCTTGCAAGGTAATAGCTGGAGTTGAAAAATGCAAGTTTCTGACTATCACGTTGCACATCTCCGCTCTTATTTTATTTTTTTCAAAATGCAACTAATCACGAGATTTTTGTGAAATTCTCTGTGAATTATCTTTGATTATTCAAAAATATTCAAAGGGAAAATCAAGAGGATATCTTGGTTGATTCTCCGTCAAAAATACTTTTTTACATGGATCTAATCTTAGGGGAAGCAATACCATTTCTTGAGAACACATTTCTTCAGTGAGGCAACATTTGTGAAGTAGGAAATCTAAGAGTATTTCATCTTAGTGTGTAGCCGCTTCTTGTAACCTCGCTGATCACTATAAACATGGGAATTGAATTACTATATTTTATGTTCATTGCAAAACGTGTATTTGACATTTATTTGTAAAATTGCGAATTCATGAAGAATATTAAGTTGCAAAAACACGTAAACACACAAACACTTATAAACACAAAATAATATCAGTTATGCTAATTTATAAAGCTCTTTACTTCTTTTAAAATTACGTGGTCCGTTACGTAGACAGCCTTTGCATTTCTGTCTAAATTCTATAAAATTCTGGAGATAAATAAGCTGCCAAGAAAACCCGACTTCAGTTAGTTCCTTTTTTTGCAAAACTGGTTGCATTTGTGCAATGATATTTTATTTTTAATTAAAAGCAGGGTTCATTGATACTACGTATCTTACCTCGGCAAACTATTTCACTTATAATTCCTCTCACAAGCCAAATGTTTCGTTCTTAAAAGATATCATTCCAGGCTACCTGCTATATTCCACACCGAAACTTCCTCGGCAAAACTAATTTGTCCAACCCTTCGCAGGCCAAACTCATAACATCAAATAAACTCGTCTATTCTCATAAACGCGAACCAAACAATTTATACGTCTTAAAGGAGTTAAAAAAGACACATCATTGCACAATACAGCCTTTAAATTTAACGTTTACGACGTTTGCAAAATTCTGTAAATATACAACTTTGGCTGTTTTTCGTCGTACTTTACGAAAAAAAAAAATTGTTTTGGCCAGACCACTCTTTTTAGGTCCGACCGCAACTTATTGGATTGAATGTCCGCGCACAACTACTAGTTGACAGAAATACGTACAGTTAAATGTGCTGAGTGCAGAGAGGGCATTTCTTGGTTCAGGTGTCTTAAAATCTTCGCTAACGCTTCAACCGCGTATGATTAAAGTAACTCGTATGTGATTCGTTGTGACTTTTACTGAATATTCTCTACGACTTTACAATTATGTGAATGTAAAATCTCAGAAAATTCGCCCATCTGTTCCTTTTTAAAAGATAAATTAGCACCGAAGATTCTGAAACACCACTACTGAGAGATGTTCTTTATGCACCCAACGCCTCAACTGGACCGCGTTAAGCAGAAAATAACCAAGCCACATCAGCTATCGCTAAAAATTGGGCACTTTAATTTCCTACATGAAAACGGTTGTGCGGATTTTTCGTGTGTGCAAATTTCAGGGAATTTTCTGCGTAGTACAAGGTAAATTCCTCAAAATTTTCAAAGGAATTCGCCCAAACGCTCTCTTGTGAAAACTTAAACTGCCCGGTTATATCACGGGAAAAAAAGTATCACAATCCCAACTATACTCCTGACTGATTTTGGCGCCAGATATAAGAGTAGTCGCTCTAGGCAGAGGTACTGTTGATTCTGCCGAAAGTGTGATGGGATCAAACACACCCTTGGCTAGTATAACTACTCTTATATCTGGCGTCAAAATCAGCCAGGAGTATAGTTAGACCGCGTTAAACAGAAGGGAACCAAGCCACATCAGCTACTGCCAAATTTAATTGGGCAATTTAATTTTCTACATGAAAACGGTTGTGTGGATTTTCGTGCAAATTTCAGTGAAAATTCTCCATGGTGCAAAGCAAATTCCTTAAAATTTTTGAAGAAATCCGAACAAACGTTATCTCGTAAAAAATTTAATTGCCCAGTTAAACTTGGAAATAGCTGATGTGGCTTGGTTCCTTTCTGTTAAAGTCGGTCCAGTTAGGATTGTGATACTATTTTTTCAGTGTATTTGACTATAGCCGATGAGGCTTGTTGCCTTTCTGCTAAACGCGGTCCGAATGCGTTTGCGCTTGAAATCGGGTTTTCTCGGTAACGAATGCATTCACTCCTAAAGCTTAGTCATCAATCTCGGCTTGGCCAGGTGCACTTTGGGCAGCAGCGGCGGCCTCTTTTCGCGCAGCGGCCCTCTTCCTCTTTTCAGCTCTGTCCGCCTCCCTGAGGGCCTCCAACATTGCCTCGCAACCAAATTCAGTCCCAGTGTTAATTGCTGCTTGAACCAGCTCTACTTTTCCATCGACGTCGCTTGGATATTTGAGATCGTCTTTCATCTCCACGTCCAATTTATCCCAGACGATGTAAGCGTTGTAGAGGGTCTTCAGAGCCTTGAGTGATGCCTCCTTTATGGCATTTAACTCATTCTTGTAGGTTGCTTGTGATTCCTCCTTGACTTTATTCTCATAGAATCCCTTCCATTGCTCCAAGGTGGACAGTCCTTCACTCTGCTTCATGAGTGCCTTCTGCTCGCGTCGGATTCGGCGATAGTTCCTTTGCGGCTGTGAAACAATAATGGTCCATCGATTAAATGCTTTTGCACTCGGGGAAATTTGGGAAGTATTTATATACTCGCACCGGAAACGGCTCACAATGGATCGAGTCAATTAGAGAGGTCGGACATGAAATTTTTGACTGAAACAGCCAATTTTAATGTTAATTTCGTTACATTTTAAATATTAAAAAGTGTTTCATGAAGGAAATTTCACGAGGAAACCAATGGAACCACTTTTAGAACCTCAAAGTTTTGTAGAAACGGAGTTATAAGCGTTTAAACTTCCCGAATTTTGTCCGACCTCTCCTATTTACTCGATCCACCGTGCGGCTCCTTCTGCTCAGAGGGTCCCACACGATTTGCGTCACGATTAAGTGGAATTCAAGGTTATTTTTAAGAAAGCAAAAGTACAAACATCGCGAATCTCAAATAAAATCCGACAGAATAATTCGGAAATAGATTATTGCAGGGAGTAAAAATGATTTGCCGCTACACGAAAAATGTGAAAATATGGGAATAGATTCTGTGATTTCGTTACACTGAAAAAATGAAGTGTTAATTGCGCCAACAACCAACGCTGCTAATTTTGCACCTCGAGGTTGTTAAATAAATAAGCCAGGACGGCACACGTTACTTTTACAACTTCAGTTAATGGTAATGCTACACAACTGTTATATGTTTCTTCAATAATTGAGGAACTGAAATTCGGCTTCAGCGACCAAAAATACACAGAAATAGTATACCAGAAAGTTTCATCAGAAATCGTATCTACTTTACCCTCTCTAGACTGGACTAGAAAGAATTATGAGTGTTCGTGAGGCTCTGAGACGAATTACCAAATTCTCAGGTACTTCAAAAATTCGACCCCGTGATCTCGGGCCGCGGGGCAAAAGTTCTATCCCCCCCCCCCCCCATCTTCTGGCCGGCCTTGCACGATACCAATGGCCAATATTTCAAAGTGGTTTCACGAGAACTGGTCTAGTTTTGTTGCCGTAACAGACAACACATTTTTCGGTCATATTTTTAGTAGAAATGATAATCACTTGAATGCTTTCGCATTAGTCTTCAAAGGGCTACGTATTATAACGCTTTCTAATGATTTATTGCTCTACCTCTCAATTAATATTATGTAAATTCTGAGTACATGCTGTCTGTTACGCGGCAAAAAGTCAGCGTAATAGACAGCACGTTTTCGGCCATTTATATATTAAAATTGAAAAGTAGAGTGATAAATCTTTGAAAAGCTTTATAACACGTAACCCTGTGTAGATCAATGCAAAAAAATTCGAGTGATCGTCGTTACTACTATAAGTATGACCGACAACTGTGTTGTCTGTTACAGCGACAAAACTATTCCAGTTATCGTGAAATCATCCTTCAATTTCCAAATAGCAAAATGAAAATATTTTATGAAAAAAGAATTAATGAACAAAATTTAGAAAATAAAGAAAAAGTAGCCAGCATTATGGAAAGTAGACAGAAAATAAAAAGTTAGTGTCACTATTTACTAAAAAAAATAGGTCTATTTCCTGTCTAAAAAATGAATCTACTGTCCGTCTAGAAAATTGACAGGGCTCTTTCTTTAAGAAAAAATATTAAAAAACCTGATGGAAAATAGAGGAAGATTGGATATTTTCTGTATCTATTTCTTAGAGATTTAAAATTAAGGAAACAGATAGAAAAAACACAGAATGTAGACAGCAAAATTGTCTGTTTTTCTTGTATTCAGTGTCCGGAACCTAGACAGTACGTCTATTTTCTTTCCATTTTCTTTCCATTTTATTTTTCTGTCTAGAAAATAGAAATCTAAATTAGTGCTAGACAGAAAATAGAACCCCATGCTACTTGGGTCTCTGCAATATCACGCAGCTTCATTATTCGTGATAATTTTCAACTAGTAAGTCACACTGCGCCAAAAAATACGAGAACAGACCATATAGGTGACTGCAATCTGTGGCGTGGCGTGCTTTGCGATGAGTCGACTGTTATGCCATTTAAACCTAAGGAAAAGGATCGATAAACAGGGTGTTCGCAGCGAACACCTTAATAATCGATTCTTTACCATAGGGCTAAATGGCAGAACAATCTATACATCGCAATTCACGCCACGCCACTGACTGCAGTCACCAATATGGTCTGTTCTCGTATTTTTTGGCGCAGTGTGACTTAGTAGTTGAAAATTATGACGAATACTGAAGCTGCGTGAAATTGCAGAGACCCAAGCAGCATGGGGTTCTATTTTCTGTCTAGCACTAATTTAGAAATTTTCTATTTTCTAGGCAGAAAAATAAAATGGAAAGAAAATGGAAAGAATATAGACGTATCAAATAGAAGTAAGAAAATTATTATACCACTATTTTCTGTCTAGGTTCCGGACACTGAATACAAGGAAAACAGACAATTTTGTTGTCTACATTCTATGTTTTTTCTTTCTGTTTTCTTAATTTTAAATTTCTAAGAAATAGATACAGAAAATATCCAATCTTCCTCTATTTTCCATCAGGTTTTTTTATATTTTTTCTTAAAGAAATTCACGCCACGCCACTGACTGCAATGACTTACGTCAGCGATGATTTTATTCAGGCGAGTCGTCGTTGGTTCGAGTTTGTTGTTGAAACATGGTTCAATGATGTCGGGATCTGATGGTTTGACGAGCGTGGTAAGCCTCTTGAAATTTTGATATTTGTTGCAAATGATGTCCCTCACTGAGTTCCGGGTTTGACCGATGTCTCTCCTGTTTACTTGAAGGAATCTATTCACCATTTTTCTCACTGAAAGACGTAACAAACGGGTTAATACTGTATGTTCAATGAGGGACAACACCGCCTATCTGAAAACAGTGGAAAAACCAGCGGGAAAGTTCTAATACTGTCGTATTAGAAAAGCGCTCAGGTGTTAGTAAATGTATTTAGTGAAGAAAGGAAGTATAAACTCCATCGACTTGGCTGGGAAATGGAAATAAAACATCAGCTGATAGCAAACAAAGGTTACCAAGGAAACCGTAAACGCATATTTTTGTTTCCCGAAAATGAGCTCACCGTTGAGCTCATCAGGCGCGTTTTTTTAGGCTTCATTTGAGTTCAACGATCAATTTCGATAAGAATTACTCTACCGCTAAGAAACTGTCTTATAGACAAACGATCGACACTACCTGCGCATTACGTTAAAAGCATAAAATACAGTTTTCACAGCTTTATTTATTTTAAAAATGGACCCTCCCCCAAAAGCCTACACGTCGATGAGCTGGTGCGCCAATTAAACGCATTAGCACTAGTATACTAGTACTCAGAGGCAAGTCGAAATCAAAAAGCGCTGCCTATCGGCTGAGCGCTTAACAAGGATGAAAAAACGGGAAACAAGGCTAAAAATACACAATTTATGAACCCGGCCTTGTTTCCCGTTTTTTCATCCTTGTTTTTTCCCACTGTTATCATTGTCTTGGGCTGCTCCTAAAAATTGCTATCTCTCTGAAAACTGACTACTTTACAGGACGAACAAAGAACTTCGCAATTTTTGTAATGCTGAGGTTGCCTCTGCAATTTTTGTAGACATTACAGCGTCATTACATCAGTCTCATGCGAAACTGGAGTGAAAATGAAAACATCAGCTACTTGCAAATACTTGTCATACTTTGCAAATGAAAATAATGCGGCAAAGCTGCGGCTTGGAATGCGGCAAAGTTGCTAACTCATTCTCGTCAGATTTGTCGGTTGGGCGGTTCAAAGCCGCATATTTTAGGAAAAATTAACCTCAACCATTCTGAAATTTACAAAATAAGACACTCGCCAACGCGCGTTGATGGCCCAGAGCAAAGATACAACAATTCGAACTTGATGGATGTCCATGTTGCATCTGCAATATTGAAGGCGCGACGGCGGGAGCAGGCGTGAACTCGCAATACTCCGCTCTATGAGCGGGTCAGTGAAGTGTCAGTGAGATGCCGCTTAAATTAGGGAGAAAAGTAAAACAAACAAAAAAACAACAAGTTGGATTTTGCAATCGCTAGCGATAGCAATATTCGTCATGGGAACGTTAGCTTCTGGGATATGAAAATGTTAAGGTACAGTTCGTTTGTAGTATCTTCTGAATTGAAGGGGCTATGTAATTTTGTGTTGACATCTCTTTTTTAACATTTTTAATTATTTTCTTTGCATACAAGAAAGCTGTTATGTACCAATTATTTATTTTCGTTGGATTATATATAGTTTTCGGAAGTTAACGCATTTAAGTTTCAGGTTCGCTTTTTCGGCGTAAAGTGTACATAAGGTGTCCCAAAAGCACCGGGACTTGTTCTGTAACTTCGAAAGTAAGATAGATACAGACATGATCTTGATTTCATTTTAAAGATCAACTCAATACCTATCGATTAAAACCAAGATCAGCTCAATCGGATAAAAATTGACCGAGTTATGGCAATTTGAAATCAGCGAGGAAAGTTTACGCCTACGGTTTTTAAGGAAGATTCTTCATCGCCGTAAATCGAAAAGTCGGCCGATAAAGTGATGCTTATTGTGTTTTTTTATTTTCGAGGTGTCATTTATCAACATTTTGTACCATCAAACACAACAGTTGACAGTGCGTATTATTGCAAAGTACTAAAGGAGTTGAGAATGCACATTTCCCGGAAACGGTCGGACTTGAAAGCTTCGTGGATACTCCATCAAGACAATGCGCGGCCTCACACATCGAGCTTAACACGTGAATTTATGAGTAAAAATGGAGTTGAAACAATCCCTCATCCCCCTTATAGCCCTGACTTGGCTCCATGTGATTTTTGGATGTTTCCTGCGCTTAAAAAGGAGCTTCGCGGACGAAGATTCGTATCGAAGACAAAAATCCAGAATGCAATTCAAAACTTCTTCAACTCCATCCCAGAGGAAGAATTCAGGAAAACAATGTTGGATAAGTGGCAAGAGCGCATGAAAAAGTGCATCCGGTTTGATGGACGGTACTTTGAAAAGCAAAAGGAAGTTATGGAAGATTCGGAGGAAAGTGGATACGAATATTAACTTTTTGAATCCTGGTAAGCGAAAAATCTTCCTAAAAACCGTAGGGGTAAACTTTCCTCACTAATTTCAAATTGTCATAACTCGGTCAATTTTTATTCGATTGAGCTGATCTTGGTTTTAATCGATAGGTATTGAGTTGATCTTTAAAATGAAACCAAAATCATGTCTGCATCTATCTTACTTTTGAAGTTACAGAACCAGTCCCGGTACTTTTGGGACACCCTACGTATGATATTTTTACTCTACACATATGCCCAAATACGCATCATAAGGGACCTATGTGCTTCCTAAGTTGCCAAGTATTAATTATTGTTAGATTATTGGTCTAAAACATTCAATTCAACCAGTAAAAATTAGCTGTCCTCTACGAGATTCGAACCCCCGCTCCCACAAAAACTGACACTCTCCCAGAATCAGAACGGCGTTGTAGTTGACTGAGCTATCTCACGGCTCGGAAATAGGAGGAGAAAAAGAGAACAGTTAAGTGATCTCGGACGCTGAGCGGGGCTTCACAAAAGACGTCCTTGAGATTTCAACGGTTCGGCCACTGGCGTGATAAGAGACAAATGGATCAAGCGCATTACTCTGTGAGACATTGTTTACCTATGCGGTCATGTGTCATAAGGTTCATCTCATTATGCATTTGCGATCGCGGCAGTAAGCTGAGGCAATATTTCTGTATTCATGGATTAAATCCATCAATCGAGTTCTGATTTTGGCTCATATATACGTAACGGGTCCTCCAGAGCAATTTTCCACCTTGTACGATGGTTATTATTTCTTTACATCTATGTTTAAAATTTGAGGTGGGATAATGGTGGCTTCTCAAGAGCAACGAGGTAGGCGATCTTTTGCACCAACGAACAGAAAACTGATGGCGAAAAATAGCCAATGAAAACCTCCCAAAAAAAAGAATTTGCCTAAAAACGGAACTTCGTGGTTCTGCGCAGATTTACCAGTCAGAAACGACATCTCAAGGTAAAAAAAAACTCGCTGAAAGCGAATTTTAGCAATCAACACAACTTGACGTAGAGACATGATTGGCTAAAAAATACAACGGTTTTTGATACATCGGAAAATCAACCAAAAATCGGAGAGTGGGCGAAACGCTCAAGGTCGCAGAGGTATAGGGAATCCCATTGCGAAAGCAACGGAACGATTGTAATATCATGGGGAACTCCGTTCCCATGACAAAAACCCCCATTACGTGTCTCCTATCTGCAGATGTATTGCTCGCGTAGCTATTGGAGCACCACAACAAATACGACAAACGGTAACTAACACAACATGGAAATAGATCAACGGAGTCAAAGAACTTGCTTTGATGACGGCGCAGGGATACAACTATTCGTGCTTGACGGATGCCCGTGCTGTATCTGTTAGTTTGAAGGCGCCATGGCGTGAACTCACGATGTTCCGTTCTATGCTGCCAATGAGGTGTCACCATCACTCAGATCCGGGAGAATAGTGAAGAAACAAAGTCCGAGTATGTCTCTTTAATCTTCAGCCGAGTTGTTACTCGATTTTTCTTTTTTTTCCAATTTAACGTTTGATTCTTTTTTTCCAATTTGATGTCTGATTCTTTTTTTCAGGATTTCTTTGTAGACCCATACTTAAAGCTCGTATGTACCGGCCCCAAAGCTCCCGTCCGAGAGTCCGACAATATTTAAGGACAAACTCGTAACACAAGTTTTGATCACTTAAATTGATAGCCTTACACGCGCTGACTCGAAACATGTTTGTCTGCCACGTTGTATCGTGTGCCAATACGTGGCAGACAACCATTTTTTATGCAGGGTGGATTTAAGTGGTCAAAACTTGTGTCCCAAGTTTGTCACAAAATGTTGTCAGGCTCTTTGGACTAACCCCCAGAGGAGATAGTCGGCTCAATTTGATCTGGCATGGGATTTCTTGGGGGTGGTTTTGAAACTAAATTCCCCAACACCCGATTTTTTCTTCTCCTTCAATTTAATGTCATCCTTTTTTACAATGGATTTGTAGACTAATTCTTAAGGCTATAGTATGCCCTGGGTCAATTTGACCCGGTCCGGGCATCTAAGCGCTAAACACGGCAAGATTTTACTATTTCAGAATTTTAGCGGTAAGTTGAATGCAAAAAGCGCTCGCTGCCAGCACTAGCTGCGCGCTTAAAAGTAGAAAGAGCACGAAAAAAAGTGTTCCGGGTTATTTCCTAAAATTTTGGCACCATACTCCGATTTGTTGGGGGAGGGTATGGATTTGATTGACATGAATCGATCGAAAAATGAAAACGTGAACCGATCGACACCGATTTGATCGACAAGTTATTCGAACAACATTGTCGACTCAATCGACATGAATCGATTGAAAAATAAAAACGTGAACCAATCGATGTGATTCGATCGACACCGATTTTATCGACGAAATTCGATCGATTCACGGGTTTGTCGATAGAATCACGTCGATATACTCACGTTTTCATTTTTCGATTGATTCATGTCAATCGAATCCATACCCGCGGTCTGTTGGATGCTATGGACATGTCCCACTTCCCACTAATGAGCCTGTTGCAAACTTTTGCTAGAACAGAATTAAGAGTTGTTTCCTATAGATAATGCCTCAAAAATCACGATGGGCGCATCGGCAAAGTCTGAAATGTACTCATAAATTCACAATCTGCGTAAGAAATTTTCGTTTTTTTGAGCTTCCCTCTTCAAAAACGATACTACTGCACAGGTGAACATTCTATTAGAGGAGTCGCTCCATCGTCGGCAATATTCATCATGGCCGACGCTTGCGCAGTTCCTCGCGTAATTCGAGGAGAAGTCAAGGTCAATCAAGGCGGGCGAGGAAAATATGAACATAAACACGCCGATTGTTATCTGATTTAATCCTGTTCAGGTGTCATCTCGTCTCATCACACGTGTTTTGGCGGATTGGCGTCGGCCATGATGAGTATTGCCGCCAATGGAACGACTCCTCTAACAAAATGTTCACCTGTGCCGTAGTATCGTTTTCGAAGCGGGAAGCTCAAAAAACCTCAAATTTCTTACGCAGATTGTGAAGTTATGAGTACATTTCAGACTTTGCCCATGCGCTCATCGTGATTTTTGAGGTATTATCTACAAGACACAACTCTTAGTTTTGCTCTAGCAAAAGTTTGCAACAGGCCCATTATGGTAGTACCGCAACTCAAGTTGGGGTGGCACCGCAACATTTGGGTTGGTTACCTAATTTATCGGGGCACTCCCACAATTAATTGGAAACATCCAAGTTGGAACCTAACCCCTACTTCTCTTTTTCCGTGAGGCGTACCTTTCTTAACTTCGGAAGCCCGCGCGACCGATCCGCTAATCTTCTTAACGTATTTTGCCTCGATTTCCAAGTGCTGTTCCATTCCGACAACGATGTCATCGATGCTCGAATCAAGGCCTAAAAGTGCTACTGATCTTTTCTCATCTGTTGGAACCGGTACGACATCCTGCACACCATCCGGCACACTATCCGCCCAGGTTTTATCAGTTGATGAATCCTCAATGCCCTCTACGTCAACAGTTTTTCGTGCACCACACTGGGAAAACAGAAAATATTCTTGTTATTAGCGCCAAATTATAAAGGAGTGTTTTACAAGCAATTGGGGAAAACCCGCTCCTAAATGTCAAACCCAACAAAATTAAGTCGTTTTGTCCGCAGTTTAAAAACCGTAAAATTACTAGGACATAAACGTAAAATTATTCATGTATCGATCAACAGGAATTAAATTACCGATGGTATAATTAGACACAGTAACATTTGAGAAAACAAATTGCTTGGAAGACTAGAAAGTATGGAATATTCTGTCTGTTTTAAAGAGAATTAGGTGTATTATTACGTTACACTAGTGATTATGCTGTTTTTACACGTATTCCTTTCATACACTCCATTCACACTTTCATTCAAGCCTTACAGACCAGGTCAAGATGAAAGCTGCATAGTTTCCAATTGTTTTAATCTTATAGGTAACAATAATTGTGCAATTTAATAAACTAATTGCCTCCGCATACATGTTTTCCAGTCTATTTTGGTATCTCATTGTTGTCTCAGCAATCACTTGTCTAATCGTGGATATCTGCTCTAATTCTATATCCTTTTGTCTTCACCCCTATATAAGCCAACCAAACGTTTTTCTTGAAAATTCCAGTGAGTTGTTCTCTTCACTCATTCAAAAATATTCACGAAAAATTCTCGAGACATATTCCGATTGCTTATCTTTTTCTAAAACATTAATCTAGTCATGAATCATTATATTTTGCAATCAAGAGACGCAATTTTTATTGCAGCAGCTTCTTTATGGCTACAGTAGATCCCCGGTATTTGCGATTGGCTTTTCACGGCATGACCCCAGTATCCGCGAACTTGTGGCCCGAGTATCCGCGATTCGGTCAATGGGCTAAGTTGAATAAAACTTGAAAACGTCGCCGACACCACGCGCCGAAGCTTCACAGTGCATATCGGAAGTAAGGTTATTGAACTTTCAAATGTTTGAACAGTTATTGAATCAAAATTGGGCGTTACGGCAGAATCATTTTTACAAGCGTTGAGGAAGGAAAAATTGTGAGTCACATTTCGCGAATAATAATTGATCCTATACATATCAACAAGTATATTTTATTTATTTTTTTAATTTTATAAATATATTTTATATATTTATAGTGGCCAACATTAATATTTTGACATTTTCTAAGTGGGCAAACAAAACCGTAAAAAATTTTAATAGCGTAGATATAGTTGACCGTCTGTAGACATAACTTTAGTAGGCATTTAAATGTAGACGTTTTGGCTGTAGACTAAAAAAGGTAGTCCTTTTTTTGTAGCCCTTTTTTCTGTAGACGTACTGTCTGCATACCGATTGAAACACCCGGGATACAAGACGCGGTGGAAGGAGAAGGGGAAGATGAGAAACCGCTGCAACTTACTCTGAAAGTGCTGAATGAGTTAATCAGGAATGCCGTGGATGTTGGCGAGGAGGCCCTTGAGATGGAACTTCATATAGAACGGACGCGGACGCACCGCGGATCGAGTCAATATGGGAGAGTTAGGACAAAATTTGGAAACTTTAATAGCTCATAACTCCGCTTATACACACAACGTTGAGGTTCTAAAAATGTTTTCATTAGTTTCCTCGTGAAATTATCTTCTAGGAGCAACCCTCGCGGTTTAAAATGAGACGAAATAAACATCAAATTTGCGGTTTTAGCCAAAAATTTTATGTCCGACCTCTCTGATTGACTCAATCCACTGTGGGGTGTTAAAATTTCAACGTGAGCTGGATGCTATTCTGCTCCCCTATCTACACTGAATATACTATTTGTGTTCTTGTATTGTTTTTGGTTAATACAAGGAGTGAAACACAAACCAATGCAAACTTTGTGTTGATTTTGATACAATTTGCGTGAATTTAGTGCAGGAAACAATGGAGGCACTCGGAAAATGCATTCCTCGAATTGCAGCGTTGGTATTCACCACTCGGTTTATTTCATTACATTCCTTCAAAAAAACTGATATTTTCTTTCGAAATTGTTTACCGAAGGCTAGGGTTATTTTATGTTTTAATTCGCGTATTATCCAATTTTTCGTGTTGAAATATCTCTCTGTGTGGAGGTTCAAAACGATCTGCCCAAAAAACTACCACAGCCCACGCTGACATCATTTTCCATCAAAGATTATGTAAAAATTTAAACCCTCCCGGACGCCCCCCATATCCGCGAATCTAGTATCCGCGGAACGCGTCCCTCGCGGACACCGGGGATCAAGATTGCCACACTGAAAAAAATAATCGGTGGGATTTACCAGAGTTTGGGTGTTATTTACCATACTGTCTACTTGATTTTTTACACAGTGAAGCTGCAGCATAGTTACCAATATACCGGTATGGTAAATAACACGATACGGCTGACACTATGCGACACAGTGCCAGTGTAGCGTTCCCGACTGACTAGTATGGTAATTTCAAGCATCCAGATGCTGCGACAAACCTTGTAGATTCTAAAATCCACTCATCTTATATTATTAAATGCTTTTGATGAAAGTCGTGGATATTTTACTTACATCTTACTTTTAGAAATTCCGTTACATACACAATCAATGGCAGTTAAAGACAGTTTCAACGAGAAATAGCAGATAATTGCTTCACTGATTTCAAGTAAATGATACCAAAACCATACTTGTTATTCGCGTTAAGGTATCATTTACAGACTAAATCAGATCCACGGAAAATTTAATTGCATATAATAAATAGATAGTTCAAAATATACCCACAAAAAGACACTACATGAAAATCCAATCGCACGGTTCACGGTGGGGCAGAAGCTGCCAAATTTTGCTTAAAGTTACAGTTAAACATCAATCCCACGCACATTTGTCTCTTCATCCGAGTATGTTGAGCTTCGAAAATTTTAACAAGAATATAGATATACCTACGAACGAACTATTCAAAAATCACTTCTAGTCGATTATTTTCAAATTACTTCCGCACTTTTATGTTTTCGAAATGACTTTACACAGAACCGATATTCACTGGATTGCAGAACAACTTTGCGAAGGTTTTCAAATTTTCAGGATTCCTTCACTTTGCAAGCCAGATTCATTGTAGCAACTCCTAACCTCCAGAAATTGGTCGATACGAATAACGAAAAAATCTCAGAAAATGTATGTGGCAGATCAATATAGATAGATTCGAAGAGAAGACGGTAGCTTTAGGGACAATTCGAACACAAATTTGGGCAAATTACGCGTGGATTCACATGGATTAATATGGATCAATAAAACACAGCCACGGACTCCGACCCTCAACGTGATAAATTTATAACTGACAAACAGACAAACGAAAAATGGCGGACCACAGACCGCAGCGCAGTCAAGCGGGAGCTCTCACCACGCTGACTATACCAGTATGGTAAATTTAACCTACCAACACCATGACCAGTCGCATACAGATGCCTACAGATATCAAACGCAAGTGTTACCATGTTACTCCATACTTTTAACTCATCGTATGGTAAAAAATACCCAGCTGATGGTGAGAAATACCTAAACGATGGACAGACACACCTAACTGATATTTACAATCCGGGTATGGTAATTTTTATATCGAGTATGATTCTCACTTTCATCTAGATGCTTAAATCGACCATTATTTGGCTTTTTATCACCATATTTTTTTTTACTATACCATTATGGTCAATCCCACTTCCACTTTTTTTTCAGTGCAGATTGTGCAATAAAATTTGGATATTTTGCATGAAATCAGACGGAGAAATGTGCTGATTTTTCAGCACTATCCGGCAACAATGCTCGGGATCTACTGTATAATGTTACGAGAGATAGAGAACATGGAGCAAACTAGATATGTCCTTACCTGGACGAGGAGCACAGCGAGCGACACAGCAAAAAGCACTTTGATCGGAGGACCCATGGTATCTTCGGATCAATGATGACTCTTAACCCCAGCACATCTATTTATGGGCGAGTACATGTGCGCGTCATTTTTGATTTGAATGCGAGCGCTGTGTATGACGCATGCGATCACTGTCAAATAGATTTTTTCCCCTAAATCATGAATCCCTGTTTTTCCACCCAGCCATACTTTGATGGGGAAAAAAGTCATAAGTGAATTCATACATTTTCTGATTTTCCTCGGTATAGAGTTCATTTCCAGCGAACGTTATGGTACGTATGGTACCTCTCTTCGAAATCCTGAAATCTACAGGTATGAATTGAGGGCACAATTCTCCAAAAAAAAATCAAGAGGAATATTTCCAAGTTTTCCATCAGAAAAATTGTAGTTTATCATGCGGAATATAGCAACGTCCGACTTTTAATGCTGTGTCACCCATTTCCTTTTTTGCTGCAGTCGGTGAACCTTACCTACGAATTCCTAAAAGGCAAAAAAAGTCACTGACGCACGAATGAAATCCTTCATCAAGGCCACTGGTGGTAATCTAATGGGATTTTTGCACATTCTCCGCCTCCCTACTTTTCCCAAAAAACGGAAGGGGGAGGGGCATCGACGTAGGATGCTAGCGTCTTTCCTTGCTGCATACGTCCCTCGGGCACAAGCCTGACTGTCCATGGCTCTCCTTTCCCATTGAGGAAGCAAGAACTCTTAAAGATCTTTTCCTATAACGTTTATTCCGCGAATTTGAATGATGGTTTATTCTTATTTGAGTCTTTTTTGCTGTTGGCACAACCCAAAATATGCCACAAGCAACAGTTTAGTTAGCTTATGCATACCCTGGTAAAAATTGGCGATAAGAGCTGCGTTTCAAAATACCATAGGAATTCTTTTAGCCGGCTAAAGAAGGCTACAGAAAATCATATAGCTGGCTGTAGAATGCGGAGAAAACCATACGGCCGGGCTATACGAGGCGATAAAAAATTATGCAGCCGGGCTATAGTTCCTATCGCCGGGCTTTACACTTTATCGTCTGGCTGTTGCTTTTCCACCATCGATTATAAAAGGCTATAAAAAATTGTGTAGAAATTCGTGTGCTTTGGAAATCATTAAGTTTGATACGGAACCACATTAATATTTACAAAACACGTGTTATATTTTCCTTTGATACATATTTTTTTTTCCATCAATTAAAATGAGAATAATCCATATAGGATGTGCGAATAATTCAAAATCATGAGTTGAATAACGCTAACTCCGCCGGATTAAATATTAGAGCCCAACACAAAACGGAGCGGCGACGCACTAGCGCCTACAAACCTAACAGGGATACTTCACGCATTGCGCAACGCGTGAAGTATCCCAGTTAGGTTTGTAGGCACCAATGCGCGTTTCGCGCTGGCTACCCGCCTGCCGCGCCGCAGCGTGCCACGGCGCTTGAAGCAACTATTTCACACCAGAGGTATTGCACAGTATCATACGAAACTGAAGGCGCTCTAATATATTAGGAATGGCAGGCATCCATCAAAAGTACGGAGCTTTTCTCGCAAAATAAATCAAGATACTACAGCCCAAAAAGAGAGCAGTATTCCAAAAACTCACAAGTCCTAGCATCTATAAATAGTGACATTTAGCATACACTTTATCGCTTGGCTGTGAGTTGCTTAATCGCCATCGGCTATAAAAGACTATTAGAAATTGTGTAGACGGCTATAGAAGCTATTGGAAATCTTACAGCCGGCCGTAGGTCTATGGTATTTTGGAACACAAATTCTACTGCCAATTTTTATCAGGGTAATAATCATGCCTTGGCAAATCCCAAAAATAAACAAAGTGAACTTTGTTTTCACACAATTTTTTAAGGCTTTGCAAATAGCTTTAAAAACCCCTACACCCCGTTCTTAATCTAATTATGTATTAATGGCCTTATGACGAAGGTTTCTTTTTTCAAAAATAAAAAATTCACCAAAAGATCAATTTTTTGTCGTGTTATCAGGTCATTTTGAGTTCTCTTCCTGCAGATTTGTTTTAAACTGCGATAACACGTACAGTTTGACTGTACAATCAATGACATTTGTTGGCTAAATGGACACTAATGGACAGTCTTTAGCGACCCACCGCCGCCGGCTGAACAGTCTCTGCGCATGCGCAAACTATCAACTGCAGAGTCGGGGCTTCTAGTGTGATAGAAGCTTTAAATTCACGGTCGATTTGGGTAAAAATACGCATACTGCAGAAGTACCATCTGATATTTTTTCTCTGCATTTAGGTGAATTTGGCACGCTGAAAAAGTATCAAAAACCTCGGTAGCATAAGAGTATCTATATTTTTACTGGGGGTCCGCGAAGCAGCGTTTTTCAAAGCGAAGCAACTGCGAAGTGAAGCGGACAAAAAACCCCTTCAAATACGTGGGATGCAACCCGCGGAATCTCATGGCGGTCACTCTGGCGAGTCGCAACTCCGCGTACGGCGGTGATAAATTCAATTGAACACCGGGAATTACGTGAAGAATACATCCATTAAATTTTACCCCTTTTCCCCTAAATTTTAATAATAAATTTTTATTGAGATGCCAGCAGATCTGAGATTTTTTTTTTTAAAGTTATCATCGGTTTTGCTTTAATTATCACGGAGTGATAAAAAATAAAAACTGGTTTTACTTTTAGGAGAAAATGCGCTGAATAACGCGGAGCGGTCGCAAGCTCATGCGCAAAGAACCGGTTTACGCGGTGAATTATCCATCAATCATCGGCATTCGGCATCGATTCCGAAAGAGCGCGAAAATTTGAATTACCGCGAAATTTTCGCTTCGCTTTTTCCGACCTTCGCTTCGCAAAATGCGAAGCTTCGCGGACCCCTAATTTTTACAAACCCTACTATATGATCCAATCTTGAGGCGGGAGGGGGTGATACCCAGTGAGGAGAACTGATTCTGGTTAGATGCACGCATGCACGGTAGCGTGGTCTAGTCATTATTTCATGGAAATTCATCGGACTAAGTGCTTCAGGAAAGGATCAACACACTTGTTTGATTTTTTTAACAATACGTTTTCAATTACTTTATTCTGAATTATTCCAGCCGTTTATTAATAAGAATAGCCATTAGTTCGTAACCAAGCTAGTGTGAAAATAGTCTGTAATAACTCAACCAATTTGTTTTCCCTAATCTCGGTGATAGGTCAAAATGTCCAAAAACAAATGTCCAGGGTAAAAAATGTCAAAGTACCTAGAATGTCCGGTAGTGGTACCATCTCCAAAATTTAAAATGCCGAAAAGTCCGGTTAGGTACTGCGAGTCATAATTATTAATATTACCAGGCACAGGTATAAAAACAGGTTTACCAACAGGTATAAAATACCTGTTGGTAGAAATTCTTCATACTTCCTCATCACTTTCGTCTTGCGGCTCGTTGCCATTGGCGGATCCAGAAATTTGGCAACACCGAATTTCCTCCATTAAACCTACGGAAATGTATCGCTTCTTGGAGGGGCCAGGTGCTCCGACAAGAATCGATTATTCAACATAGGTTTAAATGGAGGAAATCCGGTGTTGCCAAATTGCTGGATCCGCCTCGGCTCGTTGCTAACTCGATAGTTATAGGCTATTCCCCTAGGATATCGTGAAATATTGTATTCAACTTTAAATTTTTCATACCGCTGGACGCGTTTGAGGATTCTGTCCTGATTTGATTATACTCCGGTTTGTTCTTGACTTTGTTGCTTAGTGCGTGTATGATCCAAGTCCAGTCACAGATTAGGGAGACTCTAAATCACTGTGCTTCTTCATTATCCCAATGGATATTGCTACAGGAAGCTTCCAGGCTCCTTATGTTGCCACTTGGTCGAATTATTTCAAATTTGGGCATTTTTGTTTTTGGCCATAATACCGCAATAGGACATTCCAGATATTTGGACATGTTTTAGATTCGGACTTTGGGCATTTTTGTACTTTGGACTTTAACTTTGGACGTATTGTCCTTTTACCCCTATCTCTGCTTAAAATAATTTTTATTTGTAAGGCGAATGTAACCGCATTCATACACTAACCTTATCATTTACCTTTAAACTACTGTATATTGAAATATTACTTTATTTCTAATGCATTACTCTATACTTTGTAATGTAATGTAATATTTATTTACGATTTGAACAAATGTTGCCACCCTGCAACAGGGAGTAACATTATGATGGGCTCATGGTCTAACAGGCCAATCTTACGTTCTTCACCAACAACACCCTCATTATTAATACAGCGCTAAGCTAGATACGCATTGTATTAGGGTAGTTATAGCAAATTTATCAAATAAATTATATGTTTAAAAAAATTACAAAATAAAAAGATAAAAACTAAAAATATTCACTCTAACTATATTTAATTTTCGTGATGAAACTCTACACGTATATATCAATCGATAGAGAGAGTTTAACTTAAAACATCACAAAACAAATAATTAGCTAATCAAATATTTTCATCCGCAGTTATTTTATTTTATTCATGCATGCATTAAGGAAATGTCCTGTTGAGTTAAAAGGAGGTTCCACTGAACATTGTCTTCAATCGAACTTCAGTTATTTTATTAAAAATTCCTTCCGCATCTAAAAAAAATAATTCTAGCCGTGTTTTTAATAATAAAAAAAAAAAAAAAAAAAAAAAAAAAAAAAAAAAAAAAAAAAAAAAACACACATATTAGCTTTTTGATCAGGAAGTCCAGTCAATTCAAGAAGATATCTACTCCGAAAAAGATTCAATGGGACATTTTCATTAGTGCAATGACGCTGTAGTTAGACGTTTGTTGGTAGCGCTGTCCTTTTTTACAAGAAGCAGTTCGTATAAGAGAGGAAGACCGGCTTAATTCTGGCGGAGCGATTTCAATTCTTTTATCCTTTCCATGATTCATATTTTTCAGCGAGATCTATTTGCAATTACATTAAGTTGATTGCAGTGAGATCTTACACGACACCTCTTTTTTATACTTCAAGTATCATGGATGACAAATGACAAGTTAATGGTATTTCTAAAAAAAAAGGAAGGATATTTTGCCTGTACTGAGTAAAAATCATTTCAGGATAAAAAATGAAACATGAAAGCCCATTTTCCCATTGAAATATTTGAGATTTAAAATCAGTGCTATGAGCTAAGTGATTTTTAGAAAATCTAGTCGCCTGTTTTTGCGGAAACAACAACAAAACGTAACAAAAAATCATACAACTTTCTTCCTCAAATTCTCGTCTCATTTGCTTTAATATTCCAGCTAGCCTTATAATGTCTGCGTCAGTTGCTTTTTCCGGTGTGATATCGTAATGAAACAGACGCAGACATGCAAAAAGGGGCAAAATTTCGCATGAATCATCAATCACTGCTGTTCGTTAATGGAGGGCTTCACGCGGTGTCTGAAGCTTCAAGCCTATGGATTAAACAAATGAGTCCTAGATTACGCAGGAAAATGAAAATTATTCGTGCGATTTTACAATATTCTCATCTATTTACGAGACGAGCAATTTTATTCTGAAAACTGTACAAAAGAAGAGTTTTTTTTTTAGTTCTTCCTCCCAGCTTTTTTGTCCTCCTCCTTGTGCGTGAGAAGTACGCACTACGTCTACCTACTTTATTCCTCGAAACATGGCATGCTGTAGAAAAGTATTTTTTAGTAAAATGTATTAATCTATTCGTCATCGTATAAATTTATTCGATACACATCTTATTGTATTTCTGTTTCCTGGTCAAAAAGAGGGGGGAACCACCCCTAGACTGCCGTGCTAAGGAAGAACGCCGTATGAGCATTCGAGAGTTGCCAAATTTCCCTCGATAAAATGTTAATTTTTGAAGAAAATTATGATTATTATTCCTTGAAATTTTCGGACACTTCAGATCAAATTACAAACAAAATTATCTAGGAAATTGGCAGAAATATATTAAAAATTTGTCTCGGAAATTAGTGATTTGGAAGGGGAAATTTGGCAACGCCTGAAGACTCATACGGCGTTCTTCCTTAGCACGGCAGTAGAGGTCTTAGGCATTTTGTTTGTTTTTTAGCCTCCCACTTATATTTCTGTTTGTTATAGTAAAAATAAACACATCGAACTTTGACATATTTATGAAACTCAGATGTATTGATAGATTCCTTCATTTAGTTGCTTTGGACTCGATGCAACATTTGATATAAATTTTCTTTCGCAAATGACCACAAAATTGGCTGCATTATTAGCATTTAATGCTTCTTGTGTTTGACAGCTGGAGCGGTGTAGGCGTTTTGGATTTCACACTCGGATGGTTGTCCCATGGGCACTCGACGAATTTTGAAGAAGCCACCATCTCCCCAACCAGTTCCCCACGAATTTGATGCAATCCAGTAATCCTCTCCGTTTTCGGTCCCCCAACCAAGCAAGCGGACGGTCTGATAACCGATCTTCTTGCCCCAGATATGTCGATATATTCCTGAAAATAAGAATCAAGCCGTTAGATACGGCACGTGTATTGCAGGCTAGTAATGAAATCGGACATTTTGCCAATAGGTCAGTTGTGCTGGTCACAGAATCGTGTTTTGATGATTAGTCATTGTAGATTAGCTAAAAATGTTGGTATTTGGAGTGTAGCCGAGTGCTGGAAATAATGTAAACTTTTCTTTAAAAAACTTACATTTTATTAACAAACTTCTTAACTTATTTCTAGCACTCGGCTACACTCCAAATACCAAAATATTCAGTGCTACTACCTTTCAGACATTGTATTACAATGTTCGGTGATTTTGAGCTAAAAATAATAAGATCCGTCCAAACAGAAATTTTCTTCTTTCAATATTAAGCAAGATATCACGCTTCGAAAAATTTGGTTTATGACGTCATCCACAGCGGTAGTAACACCCTTGACTAATTCTACCTTGCTTTCATTTCATCAAAGTTTCACTTGGCTCAATCGGTGAAGAAGTAAGTCTTCAGTGACGATTGGAAGCCAGGTCAAGGAAACTGAGGATCTCACTATTGCGGTAGATGACGCCATTAATTTATTTTTCAAAACGCAATATCTCGGTTAATATTGAACGTAGAGAGTTGCTGTTTAGGCAGATCTTATTATTTTGAGCTGGTCCACTAGAATCACGCATCAAAATATGATTCTGTGACCTGCGCAACTGACCCATTCCGACGACTTTTCAGGGGTGAATAAATAATCAAAAAATAGAAAAGAAAATATCCATAGAAAAATATAAAAAGAAAACTTTGTCAGTCAAAAATCGAAAATATTGCAAAAAATGCATCGATCATCGATTCATCGATTGGCAATAAGTAATTAATGCAATTCAACCGATTTTTCTGCTTTAATAAGAAAATAGATTTGTTGGTCGAAATTTGTTAAGGCTTTCAAAGAGTATATCCGTGTGGAGTGCATAAGGTGTTTCGGTCGAGTATCTTGTTGGAAATTCATGGAATGTGATATACTTTTTAAGGCTAGTTTGTCGGGTTCATTAGATTCATTTGAAAATTAAAGAGGAATGCACACAAAGCGTCCGTATTTCCCGGGTATGTTATGCCATTTATTAAAGACATGATATTTTATGCGATGGTTCATCTCCATCGTATCGAAAACGCACCTGATTTGTAGGTCAAGAAATCCTCGTACACTACCATTGTCGCCACAATCGGACCATGTTCTTTTATTTGATCTTTAGCTCCACAGCAGCAAACTTCCACAGGAGGTTTTCCTGAAGTAAAAAACATACACATACACTGTGATAATTTTTAATATACTTACATAAAAAAATAGTCATATTTGTTAATAATTAGACACGCAATGATTTTTCAATCTACTTTAGATTTTTTGCATCTGCATGCTGTCATAATGCCACTCGTGACCGTTCATGAAAAATAGAACCTCAGTCAACAAAACCTAAAGATTGAGCTATCGATTCTAGGGAACTTAGCTATGCCTTAGTCTACGAAAATCTTGGGGCAACAAAAGATACCAAAAAAATTTCAATTAAACCGGCGTTGAGGCAGTTAGGAGTATGCAGTCCAAAAAGCGTATTTTTGACAAGAATTCATAAAAATCGTACATATCTGTCGTGTTTAGAGTGGAAAATTGCTAGATATGATACATTTTTACATCCTCTATTGACAAAAAAAAATTGAAAGAACAATTTATTTCTGTAAAACACTTAACAGAGAGTTCTCTGTCGAAGTGTTCAAATTCCATTTGTCGACCCAATACATCAGCTCTTCAACAAGCCAATACTTAGTTTCGTGGCTAGGCTATGACAAAAGGGCGTAACTACATTTTGCACGGAACCCTGTTGTCCATATAGTTCAATGCTTTCCTGCGCCCATCGCAGTGTGTGGTTACGCCCTTTTGTCGACTGGGCGATGGTTTGTCTCGTAAAGGGTCATATATACATGTATGTTACTGTTTTTCTTTGATAGCTCAATCAAACATTTCTTAAGAAGTAATACGGAGGTAGGAAGTAAAAAAAAACATAATTTTGGCAGGTTATTCATTGGCCCCTCTTATCCAAAACTGGAGATTTTTAATAGCTCATAGTAATCCTCACCGAAATGTAGATCCTCTTTCATCGTTTTCTTAAATTGATTGTTCGTGCATGTATCGGAGCACTGCGGCGTCTGGATGTCTCCATGACCACCAAGTGCAGACTTGTAGTCAGTTGTCGGTGCGATTTCGTACGGTTGGCAGCCCTTTAAACATCACAATCATAATTCATATTAGTTATTCTGGTCACTGAATTGGAATCACTGAATTTTTACATCCAATAAAAAGCTACAACGCGCAGTCGCTGAAGTTTCCGAAGGCTAGTTCTCATTTCCACTCGGTGGGTTGATTATATTGAAATGGATATACAAAGCAATGGACAAAGAAGACATAGGGAACATGGAGCGATCCTATTGGTTGAAACGGGTGGTTTTTATAGACTAAGGAGGAAAATGATGGACTAACTACAGGCTTTCTCGTGGGTTGCCGTTAGTTAGTCTATAACCTCTTTTCTCCATTGCAACCACTCGCTTCCACCAAAAGGATTGCTTTATTTTCAGTTTGTATTCTTTGTCTATCGCTTTTTCTAGCAAACTGCCTACAAGTTTATTACCTTTAAAGAATACCTGCAAAATCTGGGGGGATCAGAACACTTTCTGTGTGTGTCAGTTTTAGTGATAATGATAAAATTCATAATAATTAATGCAATAAAAATCGCACCTGTTTACTGTTATAATCTCCGCCGGTTACTACTCCATGTTTATGGTAAAAAACGAATGCCTTCCGTGGCCACCCATTGTTGCAACCAAGACCACAGTAAGAGCAACATGACAGCAAGTGCTGAGCGGACATCTGGTCCTTCATCTTACCATCGGTCGCTATGCACTGCCTGTCAGAGATCACTGCTGCAGCTGTCACAGCCTGTTCAAAAGAGGGAGCAAAGCAAATTACACATGAAAGGGATTTCTTAAATTCCTTCTGAGAAAACGAAGAAAATGATTTAAAACTAGTATGAGTTGAGGTCATATCAGGAGCACCGATTATTAAAGGAACGAGTCAGTTACTAAATCCACCAATAACCAAAGGTATGGTATTAAAAAAATTATGATAAATGCATGAGAAGTTACTATAACGTCGTATAAATGTTCATTTGATATCAGTCATTACATCTTTTTTTTTAACGTTCCGGTTCTTCATGACTTAAAACGCCTAGGCTGCAAATTTCAAATCAAGCGCTTAGTTACTTGCGTACGTTCAAATCTTTCCAATTAAAATGGAGAGCTCCTCACCCTACTATAAATAGTGAGTATAAAGGAGTAGAAAATCAAAGTCTCAAAGTCAAATTTCAATTCATATGAGTAGAATTTCAACTCATATGAATAGAATTTAACTCATTTGAGCAGAATTTCTCTATCCAGTTTTCGCCAACTTCTATGACTCGAGATTTCAACTCACATGAGTTCAGCATTGAATCTACCGTGTCCGATATCTCAGAAACTAGTCACCGCATCAAAAAAAATCATAAGAACAATTTGTTTTTATTTTTAAAATTTACAAACTGTGACGGTGTCTCTCAGTCAAAAAGAGCTCTTCTGAATGAATTAAAAAAAAATTGAATTCATATGAGTTGAACTTTTCTACTCTTATAAGTAGAATATTCTAGTGATATACTATGAGAAGAATTTCTTCTCATATGCGTAAGATTTCTACTCATATAAGTAGGAAGTTCTGCTCATGTGAGTTGGCGAATTCTGAATAGCCTACTCGTCATTTTTAGCAGGGCATTGATTTTTACTTTTATAATGAGTATTTTTGTTTTAAAGAAACAAGTATCGATGGCTACGATGTAATGTCAACATTTATGTAGCGAATTATAGGTAAGAATAACAGAACACGTCAACGGTAAGATTGCAAAAAAGCGTATCTCGGTCGCGGTGTATGGAAATTTCCGCTCCAATTTCATTTTTTAAAAGAAGACCGAGGCAACATCATGGATTGAAGTGTTCATGGAATATTCTTCATAAAGAGAAGGAAAATCACTGAAATGCACAAAAAATGGCATTCAGTAGTTTTCTAAGTTGAAAATAAAGTATGACAGGAACACGGAAAAATTAGAGTAGTCGTCAGAATCAGCCGCTGGTTGTGATGACTGTATTTTTTCCCGTGAAGCCCACAATGCCGCAAACCGGAATGCGCATTTCTGCAGTTTCACCATCGATGTGTAATACTTCCTACACTGTTCTCTACTTTTTTAAAGGTCAAAATACCTAGAAAATATGAATAGCAGACTATCGAACCAGCCACCGGTTGTGACGATAATTCTATTTTTTGCCGGAAAGTCTTCAATACCGCAAACCGAAATGCGCATTTCTGCTGTTTTACCATCGATGTGTAATGCCTCCAACACTGTGCTCTACTTTTTTGAAAAGTCAAAATACCTAGAAAATATAATTAATATTGAGAAAATAAAATGGACCACATGTAGCAAAAAGAAACCAGCGCGATTACAGTGTTTTCAAAATCGTGCAGTTTCTTCTTTTCTTTGAAAAATATATACTAGACATATGTATAGCATACACAATTATTTTCGTTTAAAATTATCAATTTTTTGATGAAAAGCAAAATATATTTGCTATTCTGGGAGATTTTTCAGATAATGGAAAAGCAACCTTTTTACAACATTCTAATTACGCCGCGGTTTCTTTTTGCTAAATACTATCCAAATAATGAATATTTTCTCTTGAGATAAAAGTTCCTGATTTACCCATGAGCTTTGACAATTTCCTTGGTTTTGAATTTGAACAATGGATGGACACTTGTTCTTCCATTTTTCTCTCGCGTCGTAATTTTTGTCATCATCTTGAAGCTTTTTCGGGCTGCAGTCACAATTTTGAGCTTTCTGTGGGGTATCGTCTAAGGAATCGTGTTCGGAAACTAAACTCCTCAAGTCGTCGCTGGAGACACCACCCGGAAAATTTCTGCCAGCCTTCAGAAAAACATGAAAAATAACAAAAATGACTTGAGTAAACTTTCAAAAAGTAAGCTGTAGGATCAAATTTAGTAAAATTAAATTTAAAATGATCAAAATGAAACATTGAATTTAATTCAATCATGAAACTAGATGTCTACACAAAATAAGTAAAAAATTAGATTCTAAATTTCAATTATAAATTTTTAAGTCTGAAATTTTACTAAATCGATTTAGCAGTGATAAATTAATTACGAACGATCAACAGTCAGGCTATTAATGCCGGAGACCAGGAATTGAAATTTTAAGATTTACTTGTTTAAAGAACTTTAAAATATCGGTAGTTATTTTTGGATCATAAAATCTTAAAAGATAAATGTTTAAAGGGAGGTAATTTCGAATCTCGATGCGTGTATAACATAGGTTTTTGGGCAAGATGGCAAAATGTGGTCGATTGTAATGGAAGAATGTTGACACATATATAATAGAGAGTAAAATGGAGCCGGAGATTTTGAAATTAAAAGAGAATGATGGAAAAAAATACGGCCGATTCCGGTTCGTAATCTTCAAATAAATTTATTAGTACTATAATTAAGTAATAGCTGAACAAAATTTTTACTTACCGTCCATGAGGCCCCTGCTTCATTAACATCTTTAGCAATTTTATCCAAATGCTCGGCGCTTAGCTCTACATTTTTCTCATGGGAGGCAATGAAGGCAGATGCCCCAGAATACTCTGCCAACGCCACGAGAAGGCATACAGCTACAACTTTCACAAACGCCTATAATGAAGAGTATTGAAATAACAAATGTCACTCCAATTAAAGAGATCTATGATTGAGACTTCCTAATGATTTCGATTTCAATTATATTCCCCTTCTTAAAAAAAATTAAACTCTATTGCCCATCTTACTTCTCTGAGAAATTTAGCGTTAAAAATATTGCGCTAATACGCAAAAGCGCATCAATACTTGATTTTTTTCATACGTAATTAGTCAGAATCTTAAATAAATGGCTTGGAGGACAAGGCACATAAGTGCAGTTTTTGCTATCTCGAGAAATACGTGTTCGAAGTTTTGACACTACATGGATTCTTATGGCAGAAAGAAAGTTTAAACTGACTTTTTGATACGTAAAAATCTGAATTTGGGAACGAATTTTTCACAGAATATGCATTAAGACTAGTTTTACTTGATATTATCGATACCTCGATTTTTTTTTTTTTTTTTTTTTTTTTTTTTTTTTTTTTTTAACTGAGCTTACTCGCTTCGTCCCTTTAGCCACTGAAATATTTCATTTTTTTTCAAGAAATGTCTAAATTATCACCGCAGAAGAGAGAAAAAGTTTGGTCATAAAAACCGCAATTACGGTGTTCCATGGCGGTATTGTTCGGTCCATAATGTAAGTACGTGTACTCTTAGTTCTAGGAACCGTATCCTCCTTCAGTTCAAACAACCGAGCTTTCTCTATAGCTCGGTTCAGTTTGGAGGCTTGATTGTATGAACCGAATAATAATTAAATAATAACTATGGCTGAATTATTCAAAAGTTATAAGCTATTTACCTAAATTGAAAATTGTTTTAATTGTTATTTTCAGTACTATTCTCATCTTTTTTACTCCTAAGTTATTATTATATAAATAATCTATTCTTAAAAACTCTACTACAGGAAAAAGATAGTCAGTTTCAATGACTCTATACGGCACGTGTGATTGAAGGATCGATTTTAGAATGTAAACTGAGGGTATAAAAACAAAGTCAAAACTCAAAATAAAACTAAATTTCAACTCGTGTCGTTTCTGATCAAATCATTTAAAGAGTCATAGGATGGACAGGTAATAGTGAAACTTACAAAAGTCTTACCTACCATATTTGTGAGACGACAAAAACGCGAACTCAACTGATTTTGAATCAGACCGGGACTTTATATGGAAATCCACCCGGCCAGGAAGAAGAACAAAATAATGTACATGCTTCTGAACTGAAAGAGTTCATTCAATTCAGCCTCTTATCATCTCGAACAATGTTAGCAGATCCTCGGGTAAAATACCTGAGGATAATCCTCGCCATAAGCCTTGAGTTTGATGTTTCCGTGGATTATTGACAACCCAGCGTCATTTTTGAAGCACTAAATACCTGACATAAAGCGATGTTTTCGCGAGATCTCGTGTTCAATCACAGACGGTACTCGAAGTAAAAGCCGCCACTTAAATACGATTTGTGATAAGGGCTGCACTAAGCACAAGACTTGCTGTGATATCTTACATAATTGAGAAAAAAATCATTTCATCATGCATTCTTTTCCTTTGGGAAAAAAATTTTTGAGGTAATTTCGCTAGTTAAATACGTTTCAAAGCATTGATCATACCTTTTGAATGCTTATTACAAGTCTGGTCGTCTACTTATACGGATTGTCTTAAGAAAAACATAGCGGGTCCTGGTCCTTACTTCATGATTCTACCATTTTGTATGATTTCTTAAATCTTACACTCGTAAAAATCTTGTTGTGAGAAGTTCTGACGCTCCGAGTTCATTTGACATCCAAAGATTCAGAGTGAGGCACATTCAGCGACACAGAGAGACCTTCCAGCAGCCTCTAGCAACAGGTGGAAACTTTTACTTTTCGAGGATTCAACACTTTCTGAGGGAGCAACAAACCAAAGTGGTCTACTAAACTTCGGTTTGTTTGAAAAGAAATACTCAACATGTTGTTAAGCGTCCGCATTGTAGGCAAGTCCTCAGTTGAATGTTGGATTTTCCGAAATAAAAACTTCCATTATTGCCAAGATATCAATGGAAGGTCTCTCGTGGAGATACTCCGAGTGATATCACTGCCTGCAGTCTGCATAGGGCCCTAGTTTTCCAGTTAATATTTCAGTCTCTGGTCCTCTGGTCCACTACTCTAACCGGTATTCAGATGACTCCCTCAGAATTCGATTTTGAAACATTTGGCCACTTTTTTTTTTCTCTCTCTCTCTCTCCCTCCCTCTCTCCCCCTCTCTCTCCCCCTCTCTCTGTTTTATCCAACTGAGGAAGGCTGAGTTTTCAGCCGAAATGTTTTGGTTTTATTTGTGAAAATTAGCCTTGTTACCTGCTGTGTAAATTGTTTTATTATTGGTTATCAAAAGTATCGCAGTCAATTACAGGGTCAGAGCTCTTTCACTGGGACGTTATGCTAAAAGGAACTAGAGACGTGTGGAAAAAGATGGGGTATGCTCGTGCAAGCTGCATATGAAACATTGTAAAAGTGCGTGTGATTCTTTTTGCTAAAATAGAACAGTGGAATTTGAAATTCAGAACAGAGAGCTAAAATATACCAACTCATGAGCCGTGGGCCTGTGATAGCAGCGTTGTGGACAGGGCTCACGAGTTAAAGAATGTGTGGATCCTCGTTGTCGACGCTGACGGTACTGGTGTTTAATAATTCCCATTCATTCTGACCAAAGATGAAAAATTTCATTTTTACTCGCATTAAATTTCATGAAATTTTTTAAACTTAAGGGGATGCATTCTAGAGTCAAAGAAACGACTAGAATCAGTTTATTCTGAATTTTGAGATCGTTCACTGAAATGCTGAAAAATCCATGCGTAGATTTATACGGAGGACAAGGCTCATTGCGCGCGCGCGAGTATTCATTGAATAAAAAGGCTCAGTCAAAATACTCTAAAAATTGTTTTATTTAAAACATGACTTTACTAAATGAATACAGTACAATATTAAATCACAAAACGCGTTTGGTGAATTCTCAGTGTTTTTTGCGTTTGATTACGGGGCCGGCATAGCCGTACTCGAACTCAGCCTCGGAGAGACGGTTTTGAGCAGTCATCATCTTCTTCTCTCGGTAGATCCTGAAGAACCCTTTTTCGCCCCAACCGGTTCCCCAGGAGTTGGCGGCGATCCAGTAATCGACGTCGTTTTCTCGGCCCCAACCGATCATCCGCACCGTCTGGTACCCGATCTTCTTCCCCCAGATGTGTCGGTATATTCCTTCAGACAAACAGGAAAATTGTAAAAAAACAATTAAAACAAGAACAAATCGGGAGATCGTACACAGATAAGAAAAAGAAATAGAAAAAAAAAAAAAAAAAACTTTTATTACGTATAAACAGGGTGGCAAAAAAGAAACTTATAAGAGGATGGAAATTTTCGTGATGAAAACGTGTGAGACAGTAGGTACCTCTGAACGATTTTGGCAGCGTTTTGATAATCATTTAGCAAACCCTGATGATGAATTACTACCCGGAGGTGTACCTTTCATATTTCTGAAAATGAAATCGCACGATTTTTCTATTCATGAAATGTTGTCATCCTGCACATGGACCGAATTTTACAGTCAAATTTCCATCGGAGCGAAACTTTAGTTAATATTGCATTCCGAAGTTTTCGGTTGCCAAAATCTGCCTTTATATGAATCTCCAAGCAAAAGCGTGGGTTACGTAAATCGTAGTTCCGTCCTTATGGCCAAAAATTTCGGTCATCAGGACCAACAATTTATTTCGGTTTATATGAACTAAAATGTTTTTTGCTCTATGTAGATACAAAAAAAAAAAATAAAAGTAATTTCTTTACCTAGATAATAAAGCATTCTATGTTCAAAGAAATTGAATGTCACTAAGTATAAAAAATCGCTTTAAACTCAAAATATCAAAGTATTGATTATCATGCCTGCGGTAGCAGATATTTTTTCTTTCTTACTTATTTTTTTTATATTTTTATTTTTGCACGTTTTAAAAACCTATCCATGGAATGGACGGATTATTTTCACTTATGGGCATCCAATTAAGAATACATTTTTAGCTCAATTGAGTTTGAAGAAACTTCATAAATGGTCTTAGAGGTCAGCCATGGAGGAAACTGAACGCACGAGTAAAATTAATTTTAAAAAGTCAACAATCAACTCACCAGACTTGTAAGTCAGGAAGTCCTCGTATACAACCATGCTTGTGACCACTGGTCCTTCCTCTCTAATCGTGGTCTTGATCCAGCAGCAGCAAGGTGTGATTACGCCTTTTCCTAGAGAAATTAATAAGAAAAAGAAATTAATTAAGGTCCATATTTTGAGTAACTGCTGTCTTGAGTTATGCCCGCACGACCGATACTTAACTTTTTATGTTCTTTAAAGGATGGTACTGTCACTGGAACCCTAATTTAAAGAGTTTCTACAGGATCGAAGAATCTGCAATTTATTAAAGAAAAAAAAATGTACATAAGATGAATTTCAAATGATTAACTAGAGTTTCCAATTTTCTCTCTAACGTCAACTTTCAAGCCCCCAAAAAGCTTTCAAAGGTGAAGACGTATAAACGGCAATATAGCAGAGCATGAATGAGAGAGAACCCCTTCCGTATTCAGTCAAAGTCTTAGGCTGAACCCATGAAGAGAATTTGCATAGAAAGTGGCTGTATTATCGCGATTTTCATTCTAGTTGCATGTTGCCTATATCCTGAATAAAAGGCGCTGAAATGATAGTAACATAAGGACTATGAAACTTGACTTCTGAAGCAATTGTATGTTACCTTGCTCTTCATTCTGAGCGAGGGTATTATTTGCAACAGTCTAGGTGACACATTGGACGAGTGTTAACGGAAAATTTACATCTTATTCTATAACATAAAAATGGTGTAATGCGTAACGCTGAACGCCTGATGCGCGAAGTTTCTCGCAGGGAATTTGAACCGCGAGGCGGTCAGGAGGCGTACCCCCTAGTTACATTATAGATGGAAATTGTAAGTAAAATCCCTAAACAATGTATCTCGTCATGAATCATCTGACAAAGACCAAACATTCTAAAGTTCATTTGAAATCCAATTATTACCTAATGGGACCCGTTTTAATATTCTCTCGGCGACAAATAACTGGCACGATTATTTTTTTTTCATCCCTTAATTATTTCAAAATGTTAAACACGTACCGAAATGTAAATCACGCTTCAGCGATTTGCCATACTGTTTATTGGTGCATTCTTTCGAGCATGAGGGCGTATCTCTGTCTTCATCATTAGAGAGTGCGAAATCGGAGGTCGGTTCAAGTTCGTACGGTTGACAACCCTGAAAAAATCGAATCAAATAAGTGACTTTCAATCTAATACAATTTTCTCAGGATCTAAATGTCGATCGTTTTCAGGGAAACGAACATTTTTGGAGGACGATTCAATGGATTTGCCCGATAGAAATTTCCAAAAGAGAAAGAAGAGAAACCCCAGTTTTCCTTTAATTATAGGAGCTTTTTCCAATAGTATCTTCACCCCCCCCCCCCTTAAGAAGTATTTGCCATAAACCTCCTCTAAAAAAGTTCTGCTGTTCCATTAGATATATGCCTTTATGAGTTAAATCATTCAGTTTTCTCCAACTCGAAATACTTTGAGGATACATGATGTAAAACACGAAACTGACAAAAATAATTTGACTGATTTTGGAATACCGTAACCAAGATATGCGTTTTTGCAGTTTCACCGTTAAAACCTGATTTATTGTATTCTCAATAATTTTTAATTTTTTGCACTCAATAAAGTCACGTCTAAAATGTATTCAAAATAAATGCTGCTAAGGGTTGTACATCTAAAAAGGATGTTTATATCATTGAAAGGAATATTTCCTCCCACCTGTTTGCTGTTGTAGTCTCCGCCGGTCACAACACCGTGTTTTTGGTAGAATGTGAATGCTTTTCTCGGCCAACCACCATTGCAACCAAGTCCACAGTCGGAACAGCACGACAGCAAATGGTGCGCCGACATTAGATCTTTTATCGTGCCATTGGATGCAACACACTGTCTATCAGATATGACATTTGCCGCTGCCACAGCCTTGCCAAAGTACAGAGATTGAAAATGTGAAAAAGACAAAAAATGGAAACGTGAAAGAGACCTCGCTGAGTATATTTATAGTTATTTCCTTTATTTATTCATCTATTTATTTATCTATTTATTCTCGTATTTATTTTGTTCTATAAAACTTCAGATAAATAAATTGAAACTCTGAAAAGTCTTGTAACTTTTCTTGGGCCCGAATCATTTCTAACCTTTGTAATAACAGTGCGGCACTTTTACCGAAATTGCAATATTGTTTCCTTTTAAAGAGAATCATCAAGTGGTTGGAACCAGAAATTGGGCTATTTGAGAAGAGGAACTAATTTTTCTGGTTCGTTTAAGAAGCGACATATTTGTCATTAGTTTCCCTGTGCAGGTATGGATATTTTGACGGATGAGTAAAAAAAGGTCGTTTTTAATTGCAAAATGGGATACAATTTATTTATACTGGGCATAAACTCGAGGCTATAAGCTGCGTCAGCGTTATGAATCATTTTTCTCTGAGAAGCAGTTGCTTATCGGAAATGAAACTATGGATTAGGTTTCCAGTTTTCATTTTTATCTGAACATTTTTTGAGTTTTCACTTTTCTCCTCTTTTGTGGGAAAATTTCGATGCATGTAGCAATGCATGTATTCAGAGCAGCCTCAAGCTCACTTTTTCCAGATTGTTTTTTTCAGTTTTACAGTTTTGCTGCTTACTAGCTTCAATTATTTGATTGACTTAATCAAAGAATCTACGAAAATGAATTGTAAAACACATTCTCTTACTGGTAATTAAAATGGATCAAGCATGACTGTACTATAAAACAAATTAGTGCTGAAAGTAATTACCCATGAACTTTGGCAGGCTCCCTGGTTTGTAATGTGCTTAATCGAAGGACAGTCCTTCCATTGTTCTCTTGCATCAAAAGCATCCTCTTCCTCCAGTTCCTTAGCAGAACCTTCACAATCACACGTTTCGGCGTTGGCAGGTAAGTCACCTAAAGGGTTGAAGTCTGATACGAGATTCTTGAAGTGTTCATTGGATAAGTCGGTAGGAAAATTTCTGCCAGCCTAAAAAATCATAGAAAATTGCCCACAACAATATGAATTTGGTCATTAACCCATGCATCAATGTAAAAATTTACATTCAACCAGCTAGAGCTAATACAAATTTAGTTTGAATCCCCACTTTGCAACCTAAACTTTTCGAAAAAGTGATCGAGAAGGCTTAGAAAGATCTATTCCTCCATAAAACGCCTGCAATAGCTCGTGTAGGCAATTTGCATGTTCGCAGAGTACGAATAGTTGCTCTGTGAGCCTGTGACGTTTTATCGAGGATAGCCGTCACAGATCGCGTGGTGTTGGTATTCCAAGTTAAATGGTAAATGGAGGAGAGAGATTTGAATCATGCTTTTCAAGAAAGTGCAAACAAAATTATGTAAAAACTTCAAGGAATGATAATGTCCCCTTTTTCAAAAAAATAAAATAGGCGCGGAGTTTTTTAAACACCGCAAATGAGACACGTTGTCTGGTAGTTTAACCGGCAATGCGCAGAGCTAAACGTAACTCAGTTTTTCTCTCTTTTTTCTTCTATCTCTACTTCTTATCTGTTTTTAACTGTTTCTTTACGTATTCCTATATCTATTGCTATATCTATTTTTATAGCTTAATTAAAATTTAAACGTCTGACGAGAGAAGGGGGTGGTAAACCTATTTAGGGTAAGAAAGGTTTGCTGGATTTACCGTCCATGTTGCTCCAGCTTTGTTCACATGCTCAGCAATGGTGTCCAAGTGGGCCGTCAGGTCTCCAACATTTGCAGGAGGGGCGACAAACGCAAGCACTTTGGGATGCGAACCCCATATTACGAGGATAATAATTTCGACAGCCTTAATGAATGCCTGAGGATAAAATCGATAGCAAAACATAATTGTATGACTAGAAATGTCTCTTTGACAGAGTTGGACTGAAAAATCCAATATTTTAGAGGTAGATAAGGAAAATATTTTAGAGATTTTGGAATTTATGATTAGCTTAATAAATCCGAGTACGTTTTCAATATTTTTTCTGTCATTTTTTTTAAAAAATGTACAAATTCAAAATAATAGTTGATAAATAATGTAACTATGAATAACGCTGATTGACCTGCGTTAACATGGCATTTACCGAATGTATTTTTTCTCCTTCTTCATTTACTTTTACTCTTTTTAGTGTACTGAGTAACTGTAAAATATTGATATTTGCTGTATATGAACAAAATCGGAGGATGTGCAAACCGATAAAGTTTAAAAACCGGTAAATTTGAACAAAGCGAATTATTCACTTTGTTTGTACAGCTCAAATAAATTACAAAATGTATGAATATTGGTCACGACTCCATCCTCAGGACTCAAAAATAAAAACGTCAAGAAATTAAAACGGTTCGAATTCGAATTGCCACTTCTGCCTAAAGGTTTATGACGGTACATTTTAAGCGAATGAATCTAAACATTCAGAGGTGTGAAAGAAGCACAGCACAGGAAGAGCTCACCATATTCGGGGGATGTCAAAATGGCTAAACCACCCAAATCCGACCCACATGGTATTTATAAGAAATCTGAACGGTCATGATTCACAGGAAAAAATGCTTACGCGAATAACAGGAGGACACTGCATTCATATCGTCTTATCGGTAGAAAGCTCTGTTGTCAGTCTTTTACCTGAAGTTCTAAAACACGCCCCCGATTTATTTCCGTGCATTTTGGCAATGAGGCGTCATCTTAAACTTAACGCCTATTACAGTTCAAGTTTTAGAGACTTCTTCTTACGATGAATCTGGGTTGATACTTAAGTTGAAAGCTCCTTCTCTAAACGATTTTCGATAAGATTCTGAATCGTAAGAAAACTAAAGAGATTCCAATTTCAAGAATAGCTGTGGTCACACAAATGGATCAAAGCACCATATGCTGCTTTAGTCCTGATGATTAAATGATGCAGATAAAACGAAAAAAAAATACCTTAAACAGTCTCTCTCCTAAAATTTTATAGAAAGGGTATTAAATATATGAAAAAGTTTCAAAATTAACTTATAAGTCAGAGACGAGCGTCTATAGTTTACATTAGAGTTGATGACTTTGATCTGCCCATTCCTTAAAAACTGAATTCAACCTAGGTCAAAATGGTCATCGAAATCACAATTATTTATTTGCAATAGAACTGTGGTCTGTGTCAGAAAAATCTCTCCTCTTTGTTAAATAAAACAATTGAACATATCAAGGCAAATTTATTAATCAGAAGACATTATTTCATTCTAAAAGAGGTTGAAATTAGATTTACTGCTCGTTTTGACTCATATGTATTTCAAAATTAATCCCCTTAGTGTACTCTTCTCTGAAATCAAACAGGTTTAATGGATCTCTTATCTCTTGGAATCTTTGTTTAAGAGGGTCGAAAAGTGTCTTACTCGCAGAATCTCTATAGATTTTGAAATTTCTTGAGGAATGTGGCATGGTGGGGAGGAATCAGAGAGGGTGGGGGAGGGGAGGTCTGAATGCAGTGTTAAAGTGGCCGGGGCCCACTTGAAGTGTAACAAAATTATTTTAAAAATTGCATTTTTGCGATTTTCAATTGTAATGGAGTTGATCGCTTTTCTTCAACCCCTGTATTAGATGATTCCTTCATGCCGCGGCGTTAATAACAAAATTTTCCATGATTATGGACTAAGAAAACTTTTCCTGTGAGTAATCAAAATTGTTTTGTTTGCAAATCTGTTGAATTTTTCCGGAATGGCTCTTATAGCTGGTTGAATTCCTTTCAGTCATGATCATATCGACGGTGCAAGTTGACAATCACATAACTCGTTTGCGGTGTCTGAAAATCTCCGCTTCGATGTTATTTTTTTAAAGGTGAACTAATTGACATCGTTCCTTGAAGTTTTTGCAGAATTTTCTTAGCACAATGAAGAAAAATCATGGCAGTTTTAAAGAATTGCCGTTGAGTAGTTTTCCGTTTAAAAAATAAAGTATGACAGGAAGTCTGCGACGTCGCAAACCGAGTTATGTGATTGCCGACTTTCACCGTCGATATATCACTCATAGATGCTTTTTCATGAAGTTGTACCGCAAAAATAATGAAAATTTCAAAACGCGGACCATCAGTACTTCAAATGCACAAGAAGAGTGTTCGCTGGTGAAAATGCAATGAAATGAACGCTCAGAAATCGCTACAATTTATAGAAAATCGAGCAATTTCAACCAAAATTCCACCCTGGTAAAAGTAAAATATCAGCGTGATATTCAAATGATCCTCTAGGCACAAAAAGATCTTCAATCATTAGCACTGAAGCGTTGGCGGATTTGATGTGGAATGTTGCAGTTTCATCACCTGAAATGTGTAAAGAAACAAGAAGGCACCATATTGCAATCCCGCAAAACTGTAGTGATGATCATTGAAGATATATTTGTGTCTCTGAAGATCATTTGATTATAACAACGATGTTTTATTTATACCAGGGTGAACTTCCGTTTTTTAATGATGGAATTGCCGAATTTTTTTGGAAAAAAAGAGAGAAAATCATTGAAAATGCAATGCTTAATGTGTTCATCCTATTGCGTACACCAATCATTTTTTGTAAAATGAATGTATGACGTACTTTTTGCAATTAGGAACTACTATTTCCAGCTCATCCATTAAAGCCAATGGGAGTTATGTTGTTTCTGCAGTAAGCAAGATGTTGTAGTTCCTAATTGCAAAATGCGGTTCTTATGTCCTGTTTATCTTGATTATATTTAAAACAGATTTCATTGATCTAAACAACATCTAACGGTGGATCCTTCTCAATTATCTGAATCAAGTTCGGATATGAAAAGAATTTGACTGCGTGTCTGATGAATTTTCTAATTTCAAATTTTTCAGCCTCAATACACAGAGGAGTAACTTGTAGTATTCAAACTCTATTTGAAGCCACAATTTAAAAGAAAATCAACTACAATTTGGCCGTTTCAATAGATGACCAACAAAATTTAAGATAAATTTGGCAATAGCAGAAGAAGAAACTCCGAATTTCTTATGAGTGTACCGCAAGCAGTGAAAATCCTGTTCCATACACGATACATTCATATTGTGGCTCCCAATGTGTATAAGAAGAATGTGTCCCAGACGTTTTTACTTTATTTTATTATTCTGACGTTTTGTATTTGTCTCGGCATTTTCTGATGGTCCAAAAATTTTAAAATTAGGGTATATCCTCTGCCACATCATTGTAAGACGGGAGGGTCGTCGGGTTTTTAAAGGCTAAACATCATAATTTTCCGACATTGGTATCTCTTATAATTTTTGTGCCTCAACTATTTGTACTGTATTTACAACGATACCCGAAACAGAGCTTACCGAACTCAAAATAGAGAGCTGAAGTTTTGCTCAGATACTAAATATTATTGAACATAAATTATCTTTAATATGAAAACAGCCTAAACATTTTTCGGGTCAGAATTATTTCGTACGTCTACAAGATGATCTAAAAGTCCAGCACCACCTCTGACCCTGAGGTTCTCGCCCATTTTCAGAATGGTTCTTTTTGCAGGTTAAGGGGTTCCAAACGTCGTTCCCTGTAACTTAGGAGTACTCAAAATTTCAAGTCTCCATTTCAATTTGCTCAAAATTTGCAGACACGATGCCTGGTATTGGTAGTACGGGACTTTTGGATCACCCTGTATGACAACCCGGTTTGAACCGACCACGATTCATATTAAATCCAATTGAATGACTGATTCACAAATAATAATAAAAAGAAATACATTTTCCAGGCTGATATTCTTTACTTATCACAGGAACTGTATGTGTTACCAAGTGAGTGTCTATCATACATAATATTAATGTTTCAGTACACAAAGCACATAGTCAAAAGGTTGGAAACCGTTTCATCACACTGCCATCCCCAATTTCATCATCAACTTTATTTATTAGTTTCTCTTAATCCAATCAGTTTCAATTCAGTTTTTAGTTTCTACAGGGTAGAACTAGACTGAAAAAATGGTGCAAACGCAAATTTTATTTCAAGATCCGGAGCGTCTTTGAAGGTTCTGTCTAATTTTGGTTTCAACACTTGTCAATCTACTTTTAGCCGTCAAAGTGATCAAATTCTACGATTGTCAGTGCCATGGAACTTTTTTGGAGCACCTCGCAATATGCGTTCAAACTGGTTTGGAACGTTTATAGTAGAAAGGAACCAAGCCACATCAGCTATTGCAAAATTTAACTGGGCAATTCAATTTCTTTACTACAGAAACGTGCGGAAACCCTCAAAAATTTTAAGAAATTTGCTCAGGACTACGCGGACGGTTCCCTGAAATTTGCACAAAAATCCGCACAACCGTTTTCATGTAGAAAATTAAATTTTGGCAATAGCTTGGCTTGGTTCTTTAATCCTTGAGGCGATCCATTTATCAAAATTTCCATGAAATTTCCAAACTTTGTGAATCAAACCCACCAAAAATGAGGTTTGGAACTCAAATATGATGTACAGCATCAAGGTCTAGGTGTAAAAAACTAGTTTCTAACCTACATGTAAAATTCCTTTTAACGCTCATGGCATTTCTGAGCAATTTGATTTTTGAAACTTCCACCCTTTCGATGAGCCAAAATTTGATTCTTCATCGATTTTTCATCGATTTTTGGAAATTATCATTTAGTCCGACTCTCTTACCGCAAGCCACCATTTCCAAAGGCCGAGAAATTGCCTTATCAGCCCTTATTTATTTTATTAGAGCAGTTTCTTAAAATAAAATCTGAAGATGTGACATTGTACGTTACCGTCAATTGCTACTCGTCAAATCTCGGGAGATATGACACTTCCCCGATAACACAAAACGGCGCATGATCGCGGAAGAACTAATCCGAGGCACTCATTGGCCGAGTGCTTCGCCAAACGCAAAATATGTACTTTTAGGGCCGTGTGCAAAAGCCCAACGTCACAATGTAAGTTCGAGTGTGTTTTGCGGACATTTAACACCAACTCACGCGTGTTGGAGTAGCACTGAGTATGATGCTGTTTTTTCCACGGCAAAAACGCCCGTCGTATTTAGGGCCGCGTGCAAAATTTTGCACTCGCCCGGTGAGAGTTACTGAGCCCCTTCAATTATAAATCATGCAAACCGCAGAACATTTTGATGGAGGAATTGAATCACTGCTCTTAGTATGCCGATCACGTGACATGCGGGAGATGCGCCTAAAATGGAAGCCTCGGCGCCTAAAAAAAAAGAGACGTCCCTTAGATGTGACGCCTGAAAGTTGATGCAATATATAGTGATTTCACCAATTTCTTTTGTCCTCCTTCACCATACAAATGTATAGCTCCTGAAAAATTGTAGATGTATTTTCCTAAAAATATGACTAGCCAGCCAAAGGAGGTCGTCATGAGTAACGTTTCAAATATGTTTTTATGTTGTATTTTTATTTAAAAAAAAAAAAAAAAAAAAAAAAAAAGTCCTTTCTTTCAAGTTATAATTTTGAAATTTTCCATTTTTCAATCGGGATCAGGTTACAACTTATACGACGAGCTTTATGGGAAATATGGTTTTTCGAATATAGTTCTTAATCAGCGTAAAGCGCTAAAATCAAAAAGAGGAATGTTTAATTCATTCTTTTTACCTCTCTTGAAAAAGCAGCTTAGGAAGTTTCACTCCCTAGCGGAACCCTCATTCACATACGTGAGAGAATTTAATTAATAAAATTAATGACAACTCCTTCTCAAAAATAAAAGTGAAAAAAAAAACCGCTAGCTATAAGAGAAAGAATGGACTGGAAGAGAACCAACGAGATGCATCAACCCGTAAATGAAGCAACAGCATGGATCAATGGGACGTATTTCCATCAAACGGAACTATGTGCATTATGACGTGAGCCCTGTTATGCACATATTCTTATGGGTCTCAGGGCTCACGTCTTAATGCACATAGCTCCGTTTGATAGAAATACGTCCAATCGAAGTTCACTGATCACTGTCCGCAAATAAAAATGCACGGGCCGTTCAGAGCTTTAAATAAACATGACCTTTCAATTTTTCACAGCGCTGTGTCATTGCTGAGATGGAGATTTAGGTGTCAAAGTTGTTTACTGTTCTAAGTGCTCGTTGAATCCGACTTCCGAAAAACCTCCCCGAAATTCGATCTCACTTGTTATTAATTTAAATTAAAGCAGTTATCAGAGCAAAGTTGGTGCGGGGCGGCTTTCCTCATTTTTGAGCCATCGTCGTACATCAGGACTGTGTGGCGAAATATCAATCGGTGAAGTGCATACCGAGAAAACTTGAATCGCAGAATCGTGAATAAAATCATAAATGTGGCACACTGGAACGTGAAGTTATGAACTTGAACTTGATTTTGACAGTGGATCGTGTCTAAAAAACCGTGCCTCAAAAAATGTCGCGCATTGAAGCCATGGAGTTTCGACTTAATGGAGCCTGGATTATGATATAATTGAGAAGTTTTGGTAAGGTTGAATGTTATCAAAAAACCTTTCTACTTTCTTCATCGACAGCCAGGTCATTATTAACATAAGAGATGGCCTATTTTTTATATTTTAATTGGATTTAAAAATGTATCCAGCCGAAAGAAAAATATAAATTACACTTTTTAGTGATAGCCCATTGAGGGCGAAGGAGCAGTGTAACAGCAGCAAAGTGATAGATGAAGCAATCTACAAATCGATAGACAAAGTGATAGACGAAGCTGTAGACAAAGAAGACAGAGGGAATATAGAGCGATCCTATTGGTGGAGGCAGGTGGTTGCAATGAACAAAGGCGGTAAGTAAGAGACTCAGAGTGACGGCAACCCACGAGATATTGTCCGTCAATTTCCTACTTAGTCTGTATCCACCACTCGTTTCAACCAACAGGATCGCTTCTTTTTCCCCTTGTCTTCTTTGTTGATAGCTTTTCCTATCACTTTCAATTATCAGCCAGCAGTGTTCATACTATCCCTATCAATGTTCTGTTGACTTTACTGGCCGTCATAAAGCGTTCATAAATCACGTAAAGCACTTTTTAGATGTTTTTGAGCCCTCTCTTCCTTTGTAACACTGCGTAACGCAACCACGGACACGGAACCACGCTGATAATTACATAACGCTTGACGGACACCCCCCCCCCCCCNNGGATTGAAATTTTGGGAATTTGTTGACTATATAACTGGATTAAATTTGAAGTATTTTTGAAGAAAGTTTCACGTTGGAACTGACCCTCCTCTCTCACTGTAACGCAGAGTAACGCAGGCTCATGAATCCCCCCCACCCCAGAGCGTTACGCCATTATTTATGAATGCTCCTTACCGCAATTTTCATCAATCCTTATGAAATTTCGTTTTCCAGAAATGGGTCATTTTGGAGATGTAAGATTCGTTTACGGGAAAATCAGTTGGATAAACCGTTTGAAAAAAGACGAATAGCTGTGAAAATTTATCTAAAAGATGGAGGACAGTCCTTTTCTATGCCTGGAGCACTTGGCTATGCTCCGCTCAGCCGTGCTCATGTGGGAGCAGCCTCAGATCCAGGCGAAGATCAACGAGTACTTCCGGACGGAGTACTCGTGCAAGCAGCCCAAACAGAAGAAGGAGAAGTGGAACGACCTCACTCGGGAGGTGGTCCAGCTCCTCTCGCTGGTGCCCCTCCCGCCCAGCATCCACTGCGAGATGGTCCACATCGTCCGCTCTCTCGGCGAGCGACTCTTCTACTGGACCAAGTACGCCAAGAACATGTCCATAGCCAGCTCCGACTTCTCCAAGCCCGTCTTCTGGACGCCTATGGGCACCATCGACCAGGTGAGAATCAAATAGACGTCATCAGCGTTACGTCCAGAGAGACCCTCCACTGGCCTCCTAGCGACAGGTGGAAGATTTTACTTTCGGGGATTCAACAGTTCCTTATGGACAATTATTAGAGAACAACAGTCATCACCTCAATTTCGGCTATTGACCTACCTACATGGTCAATGATGAGCTTCAGGTGACGTCATGAGCCAAACAAGTTTCGCAAACCTCGGCCATTTTCGACTTGTTTGCAAAACGAAACTGCCAACACGTTGTTAAACATCAACCATGTAGGTAAGTCAACAGTAGAATGCTGAAGTCTCGAAAGTAAAAGCTTCCACAATGGCCAAGATACTAGTGGAGGGTCTCTTGTCTCTGGTTACGTCACAGAAAACGTTGAATGGGCCGAGTTCATCAGAAAGAAACCAACCCACATTAAGTTGAAACCGAGAGAAAGAGGTATGAAGTTTTATTCCTGCATGAGGCTCATTGTAGAAAATAAACGTTAGCCCCTTTTTTCACAAACTAATTTCTGTTTTTCGACTCTCAGTTTTTGGAAGGACAAATATACGGCTAGTGGAACTCGAAAACATGTTTAACTTAATTTTCTCGAAAATGTGGGTTGGTTCCTGTCTGATAAACTCGGTCCAAATGCACTGTGAAAAAAAGAAAAATAAAATGCTGGATTAGTCAATTTTTTCGAAGAGATGTGATACATTTCTGAAGAATTCAAGTTTTCCCACGTTTTTTCAAGTCAATATTTTTGGTGATTCTGCCCTTCGGGGAGCGTTCATAAACTGCGTAACGCACTTTTTCGGCATTTTGACCCAGCACGTTTGACGTGAGGGTCTATCCTATATAATATGCATGTGAACACAAAGTGGCGTAACGCTCACTTCAAACCCCTACCCCCTCCCTCCATGAGCGTTACGCAATTTACGAACGGTCTCTCGTGAAATAACCCGTTAATTGGAGAATTTGCACTCATATGTTTCATTGCTTAATCTGAAAGCGCTCAAAGAGCTGATTTCGCAGTATTTTTCATAATATTTTCCTAATATATGGAGAATAGTATGAATATTAGATTTAAATGTGAGAAAATGGACAGCCTAGTGACAGGGCCGGATTTACCTACTTGCCGCCCATGGGCCGCCTGTATTTTGCCGCCCCCTTCTCATTCGTTATGAAACATCAATAAAAACCATTGAGTGAACGAGCCGGAGGGGGAAGGGTGCATAAGACGCGTTTACCAGCTCGTGTTGGATACATTTTAAAAGTTGCAAATTTTCCCGGAACTTGACGCAAAAGTTAAGTTCCGTAAACCTATCTCTGTGTGGACAAGGTCCTCCATTAATGAGAAATGAACCAAAAAATTGTGAAAGTACAAACATAAATGTGGTTTAATAATTTTAACTTCCACCGCTGCGCCGTGCTGATCGCACTGTGTTTGGCGCAATGCGTGAAGTGTTCCTGCAGTCTTGTAGGCGCTATGCGTTTCACGCCGCGCCAACCGCTCCTGACCGCACTGAGTTTGACGCGATGCGTGAAGTATTTATGCAGGCTTGTAGGCGCTAATATGTGTTACATGCCGACCGCCGCGCCGAGGGCTTGTCCTTTTCATCTCAAGTCCTCGTCATCATTCCTCTCTGCGCTGAGCTCCAGGCTGAATTCCGTGTTTAGTTCCTTTCTGAACTCGACTAATTAAAGATACTGTCTCTTGTATCACCGAAAAACGACAAAATTAGAAATTACTATACGCTCCGGGAAAAGAGATTTTGTTTCCTTTTCTTATTCATAATTTTTTTTTCTGAATCCGATTTTTTTTATACCTACATTTAAAAAAATTGCAAAATGTGCCGCCATGGGCCGCGGCCCATGTCCCCCCCCNTGGCCCCCCCCCCCGGATCCCCCTTAATCCGGAACTGCCTAGTGACGTCATCTGGTCGCATTTCCTATTTAAACACATGTATTTTAACAGATCAACAGATTAGATCGTTTAATCAAATCTCCTCCTAATTGCTCAATTTATTAACCACGGTATCTTCGTACTGTTCTGGAAAAAAATTAGTGGCATTTACCATATGCTGGTTAATAAAAGGCAAACCAGAGAGAATGGTCACTTTCCTCAAAATTATCATGAAAGTAACAAGATGTTTCCTTATTGTGAAAGTAATTTTGCTGGAGGTTATACCACACTGTCTGGTTGTACCGTTTTTTAACCAGAGTATGGTAAATGCTACCCAACTTTTTTCCGTGACACTGTGTCCACTTGAACAGGAAATCCAGCAAATTCCTAACTACTGAAAATGGAGATGTTGCATGTATGAGGAATTTTCGATTTGACTGTTGATTCTTACGTAAAAGTTCCCGAGAAACACGATGGTGCCACTAGTTTTCTCTGAAATCAACTTCCAAACTCAACAAAAGCTCCCAAGTTGAGGCCAAAATGGAAGGGATATCCCACGCTATCCTGAGAGTCCACCTCTACACCAAGACAAATTCTCCATGCAAAGATGGGGAGCGAATACATTAGCAGTGATGCCACTTTATTTGGGGACTCTAAGATTGAAAACACGGCAACCCTGCTAATGTATTTGCTCCCTATCTTTGCATGGAGAGTTTGTCTTGATGTAGAGGTGGACTCTCAGGATAGCGTGGGATATCCCTCCATTTTAGCCTCAATTTGAAAGCTTTTTTTGCGCTTGGGAGTTGATTTCAGAGAAAACCATTGGCCCCATCGTGTTTCTCGCGAACTTTTACACAAGAATCAACAGTCAAATCGCAAATTCCTAACACATGCAACATCTCCATTCTCCTTTGTTTTCATCCATTATTTTTTATTGTTTCAGGTGAGGATCATAAAAACCCTATGCAGTCGCGGCGGTCCCTCAAACGTATGCAGCCTCTACCAGCTAGCGTGCAACAACTGCCTGGAGGAATACGTGGAGTACCTCTGGCAGCAGGTGCCGCGGGAGGTGCAAGAGGGCCCGTTCTACCTGGAGGGGATCTACCAGCAGGCCGAGTTCCACCTGGTGGCCTACTGGAAGTTCTTCATGGAGGGCAAGCTCTCCTTCCTGGTCAACCTGCTCAAGCACATGAGCCTCGAGGCCTCGGACTTCTACATCCTCAACCACCCCGTCCACGAGAACATGTTCCGCCTCGCCGTCGTCGAGGGCTACCACGCGGCCACCAAGTACTTCTGGGCCAAGTTGGACGACGAGCAGCGGGAGCGCAACCTCTTGAAATGCGCCATCTTGTCTATTGAAAAGAGCAACGAGGTAAACTTACAAAATGAGAAACAACTTAATCAGCCAAAATACACATAACAAAAGAACAACTTAATTTGGGGAAAAGGCTGCAAGTAAAGAACAAAGAATAAACAAAACCCGGAACGTTTCAAAAAAGTTACAATTTCATTTTCAACCGGAAAATGAATTAAAAACAAAAACGGTCTCGCAATAACAGCGTAGCGACAGCTCGTTTTTGTTTTTAATTTATTTTCCGGTTGAAAATGAAATCGTAACTATTTTGAAACGTTCCGGGTTTTGTTTATTCTTTGTTCTTTATTTGCAGCCTTTTCCCCAACTTAAGATATTCTTTTAAAATTGCAAAATATTTGGACTGTATTAAATAAAAAGGAACCAAGCCACGTCAGCTTTTGCCAATTCAATTTTTTACGTGAAAATGGTTGTGCGGATTTTTGAGCAAAGTTCAGTAAATTTTTTGCATGGCACAAAGGAAATTCCTTGAAATTCTCAAAGGAATCCGCACAAACGTTCTATCGTACAAAAAATTCCCAAGTTACATTTAGCAATATGGCTGATGTGACTTGGTTCTTTTCTGGGTGAGAAAGAGCTGTTGCCAACCTTTGGCGTTTATCACCTGCTCCACATATCAACAAGTTGGTTTTTGCAATCGCTAGCGATAGCAATATTCGTCATGGGAACTTTTGCTTCTGGGATATGAAAATTTTAAGGTACAGTTCGTTTGTAGTAACTTCAGAATTGAAGGGGCTATGTAATTTTGTGTCGACATCTCTTTTTTAACATTTTTAATTTTTTTTCTTTGCATACAAGAAATCTGTTATTTACCAATTATTTATTTTCGTTGGATTATGTATGGTTTTTGGAAGTTAACGCATTTAACTTTCAGTTTCGTTTTTTCGGCGTAAAGTATGATATTTTTACTCTACGCATATGCCCGAATACGCATCATAACGACGGTGAAACTACCAAACCACGTATCTCGTTTGCGGTGTTTAAAAATCTCCGCTCACATTTTATTTTTTTGAAGTAGACCAAATCAATATCATTCCTTGAAATTTTCACAGAATTTTCTCCGCACGAAGAGGAAAAATCACGGAAATTTTCAAGACTGGACGTTAAGTAGCTTTTCATTTAAAAAATAAAGTATGACAGAAAGTCTGCGACGTCGCAAACCGAGATACGTGGTTTGGTAGTTTCACCGTCGATAAGTGACCTATGTGCTTCCTAAGTTGCCATTTTTTTCATTCAAATAGATGTAACCGAAATGTTAGATGTGTACTACCTATACTACTTTCATGTCATTGCTTTATTTATTTATTTACTTTTTGCGTAGGTATAAATTGTTATTTTTTGCTGAAGTTTGGAGAAAATATTGCTTTAAGAACGTGGAATGTAAATTAATTTTATTGAAAAAAGAAAATACCATCATTAATTTGGGCGAACAGAGAAAATATACATCAATATTTGGGTTAACATCTCCCTGATTATATAAAGGATGAATATATTAGTATTTCTGTATCAAAAAACTTAGCTTTTGTCTTCAGAGATACGATGATTCTAGTCCCAGTCAATTTGTTTTATTGAAAAAACAAAAAAACAAAAAATAAATAAATAAAAAAAAACAACTGAAATGTCAGACATACTATTTTCATGTCTTTCTATTTGTATCAATAGGTACTTTTTGCTTAACTTATGAACGTTGAATGCAAATTAACTTTATTGAAAAAGGAAAATAACGTCATTAATTTGGGGGACATGTGGCTGATTATATGAAGGAGGTATATTCCAGTATTTTTGTTTAACATATTAACTCACGAGAAAATGTTCGTACATTTATCATCTACTATTAATTATTTTTTGATGATTAGTCTAAAACATTCAATACAACCTTTAAAAAGTAGTTCCCATCGGTGGGTATCGAACTCACGATCGCCGAGTGCCCGCATCTATTCACGAATACGAGGCGGTTTAGTCAACTAGGCTATGACGGACCCGCGTGATGGGGAGTAAAAATAGCATTTAAAAGACTCGGGCAATGGGCGGGACTTATCACCAGAGACCTTGACGCTTTGAACGTTGCTTTTGGGATATGAGCCATGGTTCGCACTGTTTTAATGTGTCTCGAGGTTCATACTAGAGTACCTGTATAGCGAGAGTATGGACAGATCGCTTCATGGAGGGCTTAGGGCCCAAAAGTGCAGCCACCCTTCTAACCAACTTCTAACGCACAAAATTTCACTGCCAGTCTGCAGATTCCAATTCTAACTATTCTAACCATGATGGCAAAGAATGTACAGAAATGAGCGTTCTTCCGCGAAATTGAGTAAATTTATGCAAAAACTGAGTCAAACACGTGCTTAATAAACGACGGTTCGTAACAATAGTATTAGTAAATCGTTCTGGATAATTGAAATTCATAGGTTGGCTGCATTTCTGGGCCCTAACTTTATTCGCAGAAGCATCGGTGAAGGCCTGATGGATTTTCGGAGTTTCACATCTGTCCATACTCTCGCTATACAGGTACTCTAGTTCATACCAGCGTGCATTCCGATCGCGGCAGTTGAGCTAAGGCAATATTTGCGTATCCATGAATTAAATCAATCAATCAAGCTCTGATTTTGACTTCTTTGTCCGTAACGAGTCCTCCAGAACAATTTTCCACCTTGTACGATAGTTATTATTTCTTTACTTCTATTTTTCAAATTTGAGGTGGGATAATGGCGGCTTCTCAAGAACACCGAGGTAGGCGATCTTTTGCACCAACGAACAGAAAACTGATGGCGAAAAATAACCAATCAGAACCTCCCAAAAAAAAAGAATTTGCCTAAAAACGGAACTTCGTGGTTCTGCGCAGATTTACCAGTCAGACACGACATCTCAAAGTGGAAAAAAACTCGCTGAAAGCGAATTTTAGCAATCAACACAACTTGACGTAGAGACATGATTGGCTAAAAAATACAACGGTTTTTGATACATCGGAAAATCAACCAAAAATCGGAGACTGGGCGAAACGCTCAAGGTCGCAGAGGTATAGGGAATCCCATTGCGAAAGCAACGGAACGATTCTAATATCATGGGGAACTCCGTTCCCATGACAAAAACATCGCCATAGTGTTTAAATTATCCCGTAGGTGCCCAAACTGGGTCGAATTGACCCGAGGCGCTAGAAACACATGGCCTGTGGGTCGCATGGGGCCGAGTACAGTACATACAAGTTTTAGGTAAAGCTCTACAGATACATCGGAAGAATGAATCTGACAATGAATTTTAAAAAAAGAGTGTCAGGGGTGTCATTCTGCCAATTATCCCCCCAAAAATCCCAAGTTGGGTCGAATTAACCTGACTATCTTCTCTGGGGGAATTATGGTGCCGGTAAATAAGAGCCTTAGTTATATAAGTCTACAAATACATTCTAAAAAAATGAATCATACATTAAAATTTTTTTTAAAAAAAAGGGGGAAAAACGAGTATCAACACAACCGAAAATTTGTTCGAGCCTCTTTTTTACTTTTCTTTCCATTCCTTGCGACACCCCATTGCCAGCATTAAGGTGAGCATTGCGAGTATACGCCTCGCGCCGTCGCGCCTTCAATTTTGCAGATGCAGCACGGACATCCATCGAGCATGAATAGTTGTATCTCTGCGCCGTCATCAACGCGCGTCCTATCCCTTGCTCTTTCTCCATATTATGATGGTTCCGTTTGTCTCCTTCGTGGTGGTGCTTCAAGGGCTACGTGAGCAACGCAACCGAACATAGGATAGATGTAATTGGAGTCATAAAATAAAAAAGAGCTCAATCAATTATTCTGAGGAAAAACCTAGGGCGCAAATAATCCTCTCTCGGGTTTTCTGTAAGCGGAATCATTTCAGAAAAAAGATCAGACTGCATCGTGATGCGTTTAGAGTTCTTCCAAGAATATAACTAGAAAATGTCTTGTTTTCCAAAATAAAACCTTGGTTCTCGTATTAAACACAATCCCTTTTTCCCTCGTGAGACCCATTTGGACCGCGTTAGGCAGAAAGGAACCAAACCACATCAGCTTTTGCCAAATTAAATCGGGTATAATTTCATTTTTCACGTGAAAACACGTGTGCGGGTTGCTGTGAAAATTTTAGTGAATTTTCCTCATCGCACGAAGCAAATTCCCCATAATGTTCGAAGCAATCCACACAAATGTTCTTTTATAAAAAGTTAAATTGCATAGTTGAATTTGGTAAAAGCTGATGAGGGCTTGGTTCCTTTCTACTAAACGCGGTCTATTAACCTGGCGCCATATATCTATTGTTGTACCTAGGTGCTGTCTGGAAACCTGTTCTCGTACAAGAACCACGTGCACGTGGACATCCTAGTGTTCTTGCTCTGGCGGATGTCGCGGGTGCAGCGGCTGGAGTTGTACTCGCGGCACAAGAACACGGTGCTCAAGATGCTCCTGTACACTTGGCCATGGCAAGGGCTCTTCCTCTGCGCGCTCGAGGAGATGTGGCCGCTCTTCTCGGAGCAGGACTACCAGAGCCTCATGCACTCGGTCATGAGCCGCCTGACCCAGGACGCCGAGCAGGGCTACCCGCTCCACCACAACAAGTTCCACCGCATCTTCCAGGCTGTCTGGCGGGCCACCCCGCCGCACCTCAAGCAGAGCGTCGACCGCAACTGCTGGCAGGTAAACGTCCAGTTCCGCCATCAGAATTGGACCGCATTTAGCAGAAAGGAACCAAGCCACATTAGCTATGGCCAAATTTGATTGGGCAATATAATTTTTTACGAGAGAATGTGAGTGAGGATTCCTCTGAAAATTTTGAGGAACTTGCCTCCTACGAAGCAGAAACACTGAAATGTGCACAAAAATCCGTAAAACCGATTCCATGTAAAATATTAGATTGCCCAATCAAATTTGGCGATAGCTGATGTGGCTTGGTTCCTTTCTTTTTAATGCAGTCCAATTAGAAATGGAGAATTTGCACGGAAAAATTTTATTGTTTCATCTGAGAGAACTTATTGCGTCGAGTTCGCAGTATTTTTCATATTTTTTTCCGGTATGGGAAATTGTAGAAAAATAAATTCAAGAGCGAGAAAATGTATCATCTTGTGATGTCATCTGGCGGAAATTCGTATTTCGACGCATGCATTTTTAGCAGATTAGGGGTCATTCCTAAATTACGTAAATCACGTTTTCAGCATTTTTGACCGCCTCCTCCTTATCACGCTTTTAGGACGTAGGCCCTTCTCCTTTAACACAAAAAAACAGAAGGCCTTACCACTCTCTTCGATCTCTCCCTCCCCCCTCCTCCTAGAGCGTTACGTAATTTAGGGACACCGCGGCCGTCCCTCATGTCATTTTGTCAAATCTCTTCTAATGATTGCTCAATTTGGAAACCAAGGATATTCTCGTGCTCAGCTCTCTTAGAAGTTGTATTTTAAACATGAAATTCCCCGAAATTTTAGACACCGTGTCAATTTGTCTCTACGTGTTAAAGGACCTTTTTTACCATGCAGGGAGGAGGGGGAGTCAAATATGCCGAAAAAGTGCCTTAAGTACTTTATGAACGAGGTGAAGAAATGGTGCTGGGTCCACACCCTTTCGCGGGAAAAACAAAGCCAAAAGTTCCAAAAACTTCAATTAAAATTTCTTTGACTGTATTTGAAATTTGTGGAACTTTTGGCTTTTTTTTCCCCGCGAAATGGTGCGGACCCAGCATGCACCATTTCTCTACCTCGTTACTTACAGTTCGGACCATTTCTTGGTGTTTTTTCTCCTGCTTCATGAACGCTCTTCATGCGATGCGAAACTTTACAGTATAGAGTGTGGCCTAGCCATGACATTGAAGGAAAAACAAAACTACGAATAATACGTTCTAACACGTATGAGATATTAACGACAACGATTTTTCAGGTACTCTCGGTGCTGTTCAAGGTGGAGGACATCTCGAGTATCTCGATGATCGTGAACGACCCGGACCTGCGCGAGCGGCGCCACGACCTGATCGCCGAGGGGAAGAGCTACTTCACGAACCTCATCAAAGAGGAGAAGTTCGAGCTGCTGGAGCAATGCATGGAGGAGCTCCACTTCTCCGAGGAGGAGCAGAACAGCCTCAAATCCCAGATCCACATCAACATCGACTACATGCGCTTCATCAAGCAGGAAGAGTACGAGAGGGTCGACAAGTACCTCGCCTGGGCCATGAAGAAACAGGAGGATCGCCTCAACCTCAAACAAAAGCTCAGGTTGGTGACAGTCAGTGTTCGAAACTCACAGGCACCAACGCGCCAAATGCGCCTAAGAAAGCGATTGTGGTTCCTAAAAAATGAAGGCTCTGCGCCAACGTGGCCCCTAAAACTTGCCCCTCCCCCTTCAAAACAAAATCCTAATTTTTCTGCTCAGTGATTTTTCGAAATTTTCCCCATGTTACAGTTACTAATTCTGTAACTAAAACTTCTTGCGTTTAACTTTTCACTAAATGCGCCGTAATGTTTAGACAAAAAGTCAATCTGGCCCCCAAAAAATCTTCAATGGCCCCTAAAAATCAATCTTGATGCGCCACATGGTTCCTGAAACTCAAATGTGAGTTTCGAACAATAGACTGACAGTGCGTCTATTCCTTGCCACCTGATGATCGTCCCGGGTGTATGCCTCGATACACGAATTAAATTCCGATCAAAATAAATCATTTGATGACCGTGGAGTTTTGCAGCGATTTCAAGCGCATTTTCAACCGGGAATAAACCAGAAAAAATAAACAGAAACTCAAAACCGAGCCTCACCACCGTTATTGTGAGACTCACGAAGTGTGTGACGTAGAGCGTAACGACGTAACGTATTTTAAGATCCATTTTCCAGCGAATAGTGGCATGTATCGTCGATCTCCAGGATGAAGGAACGTAACTTCATTCCACGGTTGCAAAATTGACTCAAATAATTAAATTTTTCACATAAAAGTACCCGGGCAAAATTGTGTTCAAAACTTTTCAGATTTTTGCCTGAGGTCTGAAGAATAATCAGTAAAATTTTCAGATAGAAATGCCCATAAGATTCTCCCGCTAAAAATGCGATTTCCGCGAGGATTTTTGGCAACATTGAAATTTAGTTACGTTTTTTTGCGGGAGGAACGACGATATATTTACTGTGCCGCTATCACACGCTGAATTTAGCAGCTGAATGTGGAAGTCAACAGTCATCGCCCAACGGCTGAAATTTAGCAAATTCGAGTTATTTTCATCCAGATGTGTATCAAATCTACTCGAAAAGTTCAAACAAATTCAAAATTGGTCCGATGGTTGCTGAGAATCGCTGCTGACGCGCAAAATTCAGTATCAGACCGATGACTTTCACATTCAAGCCACATTCAGCTCCCACATTCAGCGTGTGATTGCGGCATTATTTTCATGTGTTTCAGGTGCAGTCCGTTCTCTGTAGCCCACATCTGCACTTTGTGGTCGGTACCGCTGGGCGACCTGAGCGACGCGAAGCATCGCTCAGCCAAATTCCTCGACTGGCTCTTCGACGCCGAGGAGGACCAACTCGCCTTCAAGATCAACCACCTCACCCTCTCCGAGCTCCACGCCAAAATCATCACCAAATTCATCCCTTTCAACCACTTCGAGATCGTGGAGCCGTTCCTCGAGTGGTGCCTCCTCACGCACGAGGAGATCCAGGACCTGAAAGCGCGCGTCGTGGCTGAGACCGCCGCCTCCACGTGCAAGCGTCTCGTCTCCGCCGACCTCCTCTTCGTCGTCGAGCACTTCCTGGCTTGGGCCTTCGCGGAGGCGGACCGCCGAGAGTTCGCACAGGCTGATCGCCGCGAGTTCGCCCAGCAGTTCATATTGTCCGAGGACGGTGTCATGGCCGCTTGTAACCTGGTGCGCAAGTGCAGAAGTATCAACGCCAGCCGGGCGGCTCGACTGGAGAAGTTCGAGATGTTGTTCAATCTGTTCTTGCATTCGTTGGAGACGAAGGAGGTGTTCAAAGTTAGGTACCGGATGTATGTCAACGAGTTTATCAGTGGGAGAGTGGTCGAGGATTACCTGTTTTTCTTCGATGTTCTGGATGCGTTTGAAGTGCCTGCGTGGTGACGTCGTCACACGTGATGACCTCGAAAAAAAGTTCACAAAAAAGACACTGAAAAAGTGTCTCGTTATATCATCCAAACCACTCGGTTTGTCAAACCGAACTTTTGGCTCTTGTAACTCGACTTTGCCCATCGAGTGAACTGACGAACGAAGTTCGGTCTTATGAATTCGGTTAACACAAACCGAAGATTCGGGTTGACAAGTCGCACAGTTGGGATGATGAGGGATACTGAACGTTCGGTTCATATGGTCGAACCCTTTTTTTCAGTGGTACTTCTTGAGCCAAAAATGGACTCAAGGTCTGTAAGTCGGGATGGACCACTGGATAGATGTAGGATTTAAAACAAATATGCCGTTTTGGCCGTGTCTTAAGGAAGGCGACAAGTTATCAGTGGTACGCTAAATTTGCTCAGGCGAACACTTCAATAAATCTAGAAAAAATGCTAATTGATTGACGAAAATGTATCAAAATACGGCCCCTATCAAATACAAGGACAGAGTCAAATGTATTTCCCCTGCCCTCTCTAATTAGCACGTCTTAATTAAATCACCACAAGACATTTCCTCATCAAAATTGTTCGAGGAATGCACGGAGGGCGTTTTAAAAGTTCGAAATCAACTGATGCACACATTTGGAAAGTCACCTTACAAAAATGTAACAAAAAATGATAACCCAGATCTGAGCCGGAGTCTTTAACAGTCTTGTACTTGTGTTTCGATTTTAAAAAAGTTTTAAGCATTGTTCTGGCAAAAAAATGTCCGAATAAGTCACCGCTTTTTAACATAGACTTAAATGTGTCTATTTTTGAAGAATGATCGAGTGGTTTTTTGGGCAAAGAATTTTGAAACATCTGGATTGTAACGCAAGTCTCTGGTACCTTCGTCTCTCATAAAGAATTTATACATCAAAAGATACACACATATGGGGCTTAGAGTAAACTGAAGAAGAGTTACTCACAAGATTCCGTTTAGAAACACATATTGCAAAAGTTTTATTACTCCTGTTCGCGTTTTACAAACTAATCGTAAGCATATTTTATCTTGTTATTTTGAGAGGCATCTTTCCTTAATTCCTTTCTTTTACGTCAATCTTTTTTCGTTAATAAAGTCATTGAAACCATGAACGTTGTTTTTCAGTTTCCTAAACCTAACTCAATCTAGCCTAACATGTAATAACCAGCCAACCTGTCTGCTCTCTCAGAGCAGCGGGCTGAGTATTGAAGTTGATATACAAAAGCGATTGACAAGGAAGATAAAAGAAAAATGGAACGATCCTGTCGATGAAACTAATGGTTGATGTTGTTATGAACCAAGGGGAAAACGATGAACTAACTATACACGGTTCCGTGTTGATATTGCCGTTCATCAGTCCATTACTTACTTCTTTTGTCCATTGCAACAATCCGCTTTCATCAATAATTAATAAGATCGCTGAATTTTCCCCTTGTCATCTTCGTCAACTTCTCCTTTGTCTATCACTTCCTATAATCAGTCCGCATGTCACTTTTGAGGCATGTGAAACAATTACATGTTTTAAATTTACATGGCGTGGCGTGCTTTGCGATATATATCGATTGATCTGTTACTTAAATCCATGGAAAAAGATCGATGAACAGGGTGCGCACAACGAAAACCTTCATAATCGATTCTTTACAACAGCTTCAAATGGGGGAAATATCGATAATCGATCATTCACGACTCGCCACTGAAAAAGAGCAAGCTACATTCATTGAGATGAGCTGAACGGAGGAGAAACAGTGAGGTCAACTTGCGAGTGTCAACCGAGACGAAGTTAGCTGGTCCACGGTCAGTGCATCGCCAACGTCACCAATATTTTGTAAACATGCTTTCACGCTTCGATGCGAAGTTATAAGAATCCGAGCTTTTCGGATTCATTGTCCGAGTTTTCTGGAGTGCATCTTTGTCGGCTCGTCATACAGGTAATATTTTCGACTTTTTTTGGCTCGGGAATTCTGAACTTTTTGGCGCAGTTTTTCGTTATTTTGCGGACCCCCGCGGGCCAGTAGTGAGGCGTGAATAGTCGATTATCGACATTTCCCTATTTAAGACTATGGTAAAGAATCGACTATTAAGGTGGTCGTTGGGAACACCCTGTTAACTGATCCTTTTCCATAGGTTGAAAAGGCAGATCAATCGATATATGAATCCGTGAGTTCGCGAAAAAGCACCAACTCGGAAAAAAGAAATTGTTCAGGAAACACCTAAAACTGCGCAGCGGGCGAGGAAATTAGTTTGAGAAAAACATTTTTGGTGCCAAATGACAAGTACTTAGAGACTTTGGAAAGCACCAAGTTGAAATCGAAACACCATGTTTGATGACAGAGAGTTAAGCGTTTAAAAATTTCCGAGTTGGTGTGTTTTCGTTCTCACCGACTTTCAGATACTAATTTTTCACAGTCTTCCCTGAAAAATTTATATTTTTCGACCTGAATAACGCTTGAATATTAATATAACTTGTTGGTACAAGGTATACTGAACCGAAAAAAGAAAACCGCAAAATCGGATGGCCACCCCTTTCCCTTGAAATGGCCAAAAGTTGGTTTTTCCAATGAAATACTTCGATTTTTCCCTTTTCCCGTCGCTGTTTCGAGCACTTCCGATTGCAATTTCGAAATTTCTTTTTGCGTGCAGATGCTTCTATCCATAAGTGTTACTAAACCGTAAAAAAGTGAAAATCGAAAAAAACCCGAGTTGGTGTGTTTTCGAACTCACTGATTCATATAGCAAAGCACGCTAAGCCACTGACTTACCGTGTTTAGCGGATGCTTGTGATTTTTAGCCGCCTATTGCATTACTTACTGATCGTGAATTTTCGGAGGTATTTGCGGTTTTTCGTGAAATATGGGCGGTTTTGCGACAAAACCCACCAAAATTTCAAGGCTTATAAAATTAGAATCCTCAATAATCATCGTTGGAGCACGGCGTTTACGTTGTGCGTGTTGTGATTCATACCACCTATAGCATTGGCCCTTATCTCAGTCCAGGAATACAAAATTTCGCAATTTTTAATCAAATTCAATTTTATAAAATTTGTTCAGAAAACTCCAGAGGGCACAAAACAAGGATGTTGTAACCTCTCATTCTTTTCCCTACTCCTCACGACAAGTTATGTCGATGGATTATTGAAATTAATAGACACAACTTTACAAAAAGGAGACAACGGGAAAATGGAGCGACCCTAAAGGTGAAAGCGGGTAGTTGCGAGGGATAAGGAAAGTAAGTAATAGTCTAACTAACGGAATCCCACTAAAGACCCTTCAGTGAGTTCATCATATTCCCCCTTCTCCTATGAAAACCGTCTGTTTCTGCCAATAGCATTGCTCTATTTTTCCCTAGTTTTCTTTTTCTATCATTTCCTGTAATCGCATCAAGCTGGAAATCGTGCTCTCTCAGGGAAATATTTGGACGATGGTGGGGGCGGCGTCCAGGCCCCTTGAACTCCCCCCCCCCCTCCCAAGCCTACACTACTGCTCTGCATATGAGCAGAACAGTGGACATGGCACGAATAATTTCTCATTAAACTTTTATTAGGACTCCGATAGACGTACCAGTAATTTTCACTATCAACTTTACCGATAAATCAGCGTTTATAGTTCCCCCAGAATCAGTCGATTCAGGCTTGTTTCGAGTGGACCGTTCACTGCCATGCCTCGATAGCGTTAAAGTCCTGCACGCACTTACGAATTCCGTGTTATCTCTTAAATGTAAGCACCTGATTCATTTAATAGTTAGAAAATATTTTTTTAGAATGCTCGTTGGACGGATCATACAGTGCAGAATTGCGCTTTATATTTTTTCAACGAAATCATTCGCAAATTACCAATGCCAGAAAACAACTTCCGGCTCCAAATGAGTTGTTTGTGTTCATACGAGTGATGTCGGTGAAATGACAATAAAGTAAACAAACAACGATGTCTTTCCTTTCGATCAGTGTTGAGTGTAAACGTTTCAGTGGGATTATCTCATCGGTTGAAAACTACCTTCACGAAGTCGCGCTACTGAAATGTGATTCCAACATCAGCGAATATTTTAATGGCTTCTTTTAATGGGGTGAAGTGAAACTCAACAGTCGATGAACGAAAATCTTCGATGATTCCATTGATGACAATCAGAATGACTCTGAGCTCCATTCCTTTCGATTTTATTTGATCTGATTGATTTGGTTTTATTTTATGTGCTATACTAAGAAATGAGGGGCTTGGAGGACAAGGCATAGGAGCAGGTTTTGAAAAAATTAAGATATAAATGATTTCAAGTAAAACTAGTCTAAATGCATATTCTGTGAAAAATTTGGTCCTCTATCGATTCAGTCTTGTAGGTGCCATGAACGAATATTATCGTGGACCCCGAACTCTTAAAACACCTTGATCATTCAATGTTCACTATCCAACCAATTTTATCAACTTTTTAAATTGCCCAAAGGGTATATTTCCTTTCAATCGTGTGTAGCATGACGCTCAAGAATTTCCTACCTCTCATCCAATTGCGTAATTTTATTTTCCTCCTAAAGAATCCAAAACAACCTCATTGGCGGATCCAGCAAATTGGCAAAATTGTTTTTCTCCATTTGAACCTATGGAAATATATCGATTCTTGGAGGGGCCGGGTGCTCCGATAAGAATCGATAAATTAACATAGGTTTCATTGGAGGGAACTTGATGTTGCCAACTTGCTGGACCCGCCTCTGAACAATCTCTATGATTTCAGACCCAACGATGGATTCGTGGCCCATGATGGGCAGCCCGTGGCCGGCTCTCACAATTACCGGGTCCTACCTGTATTTTGTACTTATCTTTGGTCCGTGGTATATGAAATACAGGCAAGCATATAACCTAAAATACACTATAATCTTTTACAATTTAGGTCAGGTTATATACAATGTCTCCATGTTGATTATGGTGAGTAATTTTTGAATTTAGTTATTTCCACTTGCATTCTAAACGTTTCTTGAAACCGGCGCGGCGTTAAGATGATCAAAAGAACTTTTCCTCAATTTGAAGGAAAATTGTCCGTAATTGAGAACATTTTTTTAGGTTCATATAAAAAATATCTTTGACCAAAGGAAAATTTTGTGTATTTAAAGAAAAAAATTTTAAGTTAAATAATTTGTTTTTAATTCAAATAAAGTTTTTATATTTATCTATTTATTAATTTCATTTATTTATTTTTTTTTATTCTCAGAAATCTAATTTTGTTATTGATGACCAATTTGATGTTCTCTGTATTGATAAAAAAGTTCACTTTTAGGTAACCAACCCTAGCTGAAGCCCGAAAAGTTCCCTACCCCTAATTATTGTCCCTTGTTCCTAGGGATCATCGTTCATATATCACAATCTACTGAGGCTAACATTTTTCCTTTGCTGTTTTTTCATCAAATAACTCTGGGTTCCTAATGTTAATTATTTTCTGTTTCAGGTTTTATCGAGTTTTTATCTGGATGATGATAAAATTATCCAGACAAAAAAGGTTTGTGATACTTGATGAATACTTACCTAATTTTCCATAATTAGGTATCTAAACAGGAAACCAGTAGATATGTAGGGGCAAAAAACAAACAACAATGTGAATCGGCTATGAATTTAAAAACATGCGATTTTAATTTTCAACGAGTATGTTTTTTCTTGAGTTTCTAAGGTGCTGAGGCATCCTAATACCCCTATCTAAATCGTCCCTGGAGAAGGAAAAAACAGTTGGGAAAAAACCTGTATGTATCTCATTGCACAGTTACTAAGCATCATTGCGTCTACTCAATTATTTCCACTACGAGAGCGCCGTAAGACCTCAGATATTCAAGACGATTCTATTATAATCTTATATTATTTTGTGTATTTATGTTACAGCTCCGCCAAGCAGCCTGGTGCTTCATGTTCATAAAAATCATCGATCTATTAGATACGGTGAGCAGCTTTTACCTTGCAAATCCTTTGATGAACGTAAAGTAAACACACTGTGAATATGCAATGCGCTTTACATGTCTTTCTCTACAACTCCGCGTAAAAAAAAACGTAGCACACACAGGTAAGTTCGGAAATTGACTCCAAAGTGAGATATGCACATTAGTGTTTTCAATTAATGTTAGTTATTGAATGCTGTAATCGAAAAATGACGTCATAGCCTTCCAGTTAAGTTGTGAACCGCCGTAGACAAAGTTAGGAATATTGAATGGTCAAATCAGGTTCCTCATGAAAATCTCACTTAGATTAGCCTTCAACCCTTAGAAAATTTATAACCAAAGTCAGAGGATTTCAACATTTATGGTCTCCTAGAAAATTTGCATTATCTAACGTTACTATGTCTCTTAACACCTTCATGAATAAAATTCATCTTAATAGTTCAAGGCATACAATTCCAGTAGTAGTTGTGATATTTATAAATATAATTGTTGACAAGAAAAAGAAAAAAACAACTTAAAAATTTCCAAATCAAACCCATAAGTAGGAAACTATTCCATTTCCGTTGGATTCAACTCACAGTTCATCAAAAATCAAATTCTTCTTGAGTCAAATTGGGCAATAATGTACTCCGAAATTAGCAGAAAAAAATTTTTGGGCGCACTAGATTTTCCTTGATAAAGTTTTGAGTGTACTTACCTTGCAACGGAGGAGCAAGGTAATATTATGAAACATACTAGCAGTTACACATTGCCGAGATGTAGGCTGATATTCAACCATCAATTTAACCAACGTCAATTTTGTTATTTTTCTACAAGAAAGAAAATAGAATCATTGATTCTAATGCCAACAATGAGTAAACACTTTTCATGCAAGACTTGATTTCGACTACTAGAAATACACTTAATGCGCTGTATGTCACAGTTCAGAAATTATGCCTCGCAGTGATTTTTTTCCTACGTTGTCTAAGGTGGTCTATTCCAGATACAAACGTGAATTTTTCGCTTTGAAGTTGATTTTCTGAATTTGCGATGTGTGCCATTTTCAAAAATGGATAAGACAGTCCCATGAGAGATGGGGGTTGGGAGTTGGACCAAAAAAATGTCATTTTTCACATTTTTTTTTGCCTCCTTCTGTCTGAATGTTTTAGCCAAAGAGTGACATCGTCACCTTAATCCTTGGATCACATTTAGTGCCTATGACTTTTCAACGAATATAAAACTTCGGGAATCCTCTTATGAGTGAAATACCAACAGAAAATTGATTAAAACAGTAAAAAAAAAAGTTTTCAATTTTTGTGCGCGCGTGTGTGTGATTCGAAGTGAAATTGATCCACAATTCTGTAAGTAAGACTTTCATCCGTCAAGGGACGAAAAAATAGTTTACCACCCTAATGACAGAGCTTTATACAGGAAAGGAAAATTTAACCTGTTTTAAACCCGAGCGTTTCCAAAAGAAATCGATTGATATTTTGACACGAAATTGCAGCGGAATCTTTGGATGTGGCAAAAAATGAAGCACATTAAAGTTTCACTATAATAATTAGTCAAAATTGAAATATCCTTAAAAATTTAAAAAAAAAATTGTTAGTCAAGATGCTTCTCGTAGATTATCAATCGATTTGAAATTCAAATTCTGGGATTATTTAATCTCTACAAAAATACTCACCTAAGAAATCTCCGTTTTTAGGTGTTCTTTGTATTACGTAAGAAGCAGTCACACATTACAGTTCTTCACGTGTATCACCACACATGTATGGCAGTGGGTACGTGGGCCTTCGTCAAATACACAGAAGGTAAGGCAAAGCCCTTCTCATTGTGTCTTTCTTCAAAATCTGAAACTTGATTCAATTTACAGCCGAAGCAATACTGGAAAAGAGCTACACCGCCCTTCGTTTGGGGTTTAGATGTAGTTATTTTCAGCCGGGTTCAGTGGCATGAGTTCAGTTGTCAGGTTCAGTTGTCTGAAGCCGGCCCACGAATGGTATACTTCTGAAGGAAAATGTCATATCGATGGCCAAAGTGCGAAACCAGGTATCTCCTTCGCGGTGTTTCAAATTTCTGCTCCTGTTTTATTTTTTCGCAGAGAAACAATCCAAAATTATGACTTGAAATTTACACAAAATATTCCTCAATAGAAGAAAAATGAAGTAAGTTATCGAGACACTACTTTGGCTAGATTTCCGAAGAAAAGTAAAATATGATGGGAAGTCTGCAATGTCGCAAACGGAGATACGTGCTTTCGCACTATAGTCACCAATATGATCATTAAGATTGCCAAATTGGCTCTGTTATTACACGCGCAGTTTCTGGATAACTTGTGATTTTTTGCCATGTATTTTTCTTTGAGCCTTAATTTAATCCATCGGTAGTGTGTCAAATTAAAAGTGCATTATTTATAATCTATATTCATGGAGGCAGAACCTTCACCTGGAATCTATGTATTAATGCATTTTGATGGAGAAGTAACAATGACACACATTTGCTCTAAACCCCTTCCCTCGTTTGTCGCGAGACCACAGTCTGAGGAACAAAAAGCAGGGATGAGCAATATAAGGTAGATTTTCGGCTAAATGCTACTCTGATGATGTCTAGTCTAGTGCTAGTCTGATAACAAGGTCATAAAGGTTTTATCCTTTCAATATATTTTTGCATTGTCTCAATTCTTTCAACGCAGAGTAAAAAAGAATGGTTACTTCGCAAATCTTGTATTGGTTTCCAGGTCCTACTTACTTTTCTAGTCGTTGTTACGATGTTAATTTTTTGATGACGTATGGTTTGATTCTCTTATCGATGCTTCAGTTCTGATAAAAATCCTGCATTTATTAGTGACAATGAGACCGAAATCATTGTTAGCATGAAAGTAATACTCTGACTACGGCTAGTAAAGTAGGAATCCACCATGAACCATTTAAGGGCAACGATTCTTCCTTTTTCCGTGAAGGCCTCTGGTAGGGTTGAAATTGAAACACTTAGTCACTCTGGAGAACGTTGTATTCATATCTGCCCAATTTGAACCGAATGTGCTCGAGACTCATTATTTTTTGGTCTTTGTCCTCAGGTCAGCAATGTGTTCTTATCGGCGTGATCAATTCAGCAGTTCATGCAGTGATGTACGGGTACTATCTTCTTTCTGCTCTCGGACCTCAAGTTCAAAAATACCTCTGGTGGAAAAAATACATCACAAAGTTACAAATGGTAAGAATATTGAGATTGTTGATAAGTAACATATCTAATAAAAAATGCAATTTATAGTCCTGTGGTCTCCATCGTTGTCATTAAAAATGGGCGTATTCGCGCTAAAATACCTATGTGAAAATTAATTAAATTAATCAATTAAATTGTGTGTAGTGAAAAACATATCTCTTTTTTTCCAGGGTCAGTTCATCGTTATCATGGGTTACCTGCTGAGGATGCTTCTCTATGACAACAATTTGCCCAAAATTGTGATAATCGGCTTGTTCACCAACACCGGGGTATTTTTGGCCCTATTTTACGATTTTTACCGCAAGTCCTACTTCAAACCTACTAAACAAGTAGCCAAATTTTCAAATTAGTGTCTCCGCAAATTCCAAGGAATCTTTTAAAGTCTCCTGTCACTTAAATTCCTTCCTTAATTGATATCGTAAATATATGGATTTCGTCCACACCATTGATTTGTTCAACTTTTTTTATACTACTTCTTCTCAAAAAGAGTTTAATGGCAAAAATGTATGAAATCGTATTTTTATTCACAATTGAAAGGCTTGAAGGACAAGGTGGATAAGTGCAGTTTCTGCTGTTTCAATTAAAGTTCCAAAATTACATGGACCCTTGGGACGAAAAGGAAGTTTAAACTCACTTTTTGATGCTTTAAAGTTTGACTTTAGATGCGCATTTTTCACAGAATATACTCTCAGACCAGATTAAGTTGAGTTCATAAAAACTTCATTTTTTTCAAAAACGCACTTATGCGCCTTGTCCTCTATGCCCCTCAATTCTACTCTCAACGTAGGTGCTTGACATATAGACTCTCCTTCTTCACGTTAGTAACGATCATAACTGAAACACTTTTCATGAGCCCTCGAAAAACTGTTGAGAAACCTATTTGGGTCTTTTTTAAGTTTATAAAATTAAAGTCTGGTAAAATTTTCGTCAAATTTTTTTAAAAAACGACCATTCTTGGGCACTTTTTTAAACACTCCCACCAAAAAAATTAATCTGTTAAAAAAACTAACGTAGATCTATTCGAGATTTTTTACATCTGTTTTTCCTTTATATTTACCTTTCGTTTTTACTTTAAAAATAGCACATTAATCAGTTTCCCTGAGACATCAATTGAGAGTTGCTCTTTTAAAAAAAGCAAGTTTTTAAAGATGTATTTGAAATAATTTTGCCATTTAGGTAGATAATGGAGGAATGTACGTTATTTAAGTGTGCACTTTTGCAATCGTTGCAATCTATTTAAACTTCATTTTGATCAAAATGAGCGACATACGCCAAAATTATTGATTCCATTTGTTCTAAGCCCACAATTCTGCTCATAAAAATCAGTGTAAAATTACATGCGTAATTTAAGTGCCCAATTTTGTAATAGTTGTACCGATTAACTTTGATTTTCATTTCGATTAAAATGAATGAGGACCAAATCCATTGCTTTCATTCGTATGTACCATCCACATTTTCTCCCCTAAATCAAAAAGGACGCAGCTCAGCAAATTTAAAGGGCTCATAATCACTCTCGAGTCAACTAAATCTTCTAAATAATGACTGATTAAAGTGTTCACCAATGCAGGCCATTCGCCCACCAACGGTATTTTCCTGTTTTAAATCTTTACTTTGTCTCGGTCTTTTCCAAAATATTCACAATGGATGCTATACATAAGGTTTTGGATGGGTCGTACTCGAGATATTTGATAAAGTCATATCATTTTTAAGTGTCGTGTTGAACGTCGCCTAAGTATCAAATTTCATTCATGCTAAACCGCTTAAACTTCCCCATGTTAATGTAGTGTTTTCAAAATACCAGCGCCCAATCTCACCTCTTCTCAGATGAGAAGAGCTCCAACGCGACGGAGGCCCTTGTTGTGTGCTGTCTATGAGCATGTACCTGGCGCCGTATGCGCTGGGAAAGTCAGAGCGCCTTCGGTTTGGTGTATATGCAACACACACATCCACGGGGCAGTAATAGTTGTATCCAGGCCGCCAGGCGTTATTATCAACTTCTCGTCTATCTGCTGATAATGTGATACCAGTTCGCCTGGCATTATCGTCCTTGGAAATGAGGAACAATGGTTTTTCTTTATACCCTTTGCACGAAGTAGAGTTCGTGAGAAGAGGGTTTAGCGAGTTGGAAGAAACGGAGCTCTATTTTTAACAGATTTAATAAGTTAAATATCTTTAATGGGTTTAATATGTCGCTTTTTCACAGAATTTTCAATGATTTTAGCATAATTTCATTTCGTTTTCTAAAATCCTCGTAGAATTACGGTGTGAATTCTTTCGTTTGGGTATTTACCGGTTGGCACTAAGAGCACCGGAAAATGCCTTTGTAGTTGAAAGTAAGAGATGACGATCGGTTCTTTTGGTTTTTAAATGCATTTTTAAACAGAGCCGACAGCAAAAGCAAAAAAGTAACCATTTCCAAAATTTAGAAAAAAAAACAAAAAAACCATTACTTCAGAGGACTAATACTATAGTGTGAACAAATTGCTTGGCCAAACTCTAAAAATGCGTACTTCCAATTGTGAAATTACATATACATTCTCTTTCATGGTCTATGCTTTCAACGAAAACGAAGCAGCCTTTTCCTCGAGCTTTTTCTGTGATGTTTCTTTAGTCATTTCATACACATATTTGCGAAAAATTTCAAAGGGATAATTTGGTTAGTTTTCCTTGAAAAAGAATCCCAGATTTTGAAAAAAATGCGATTAAAATACGTCATTTTACAACTGAAGTCACCGATCTATAAAATAACAAATCGGAAAGGACACTCAAAGACGATACATATTTTTAGGGACCCCACCGCCCTTTCTAACACTCTAAGCAGGGTAATAAGAAGAGGCAAACGTTAACCTTGGAGGTCAATGCTATTTTTCTTCCAATGATGATTGATGTGCATTCGGTTGAGCAAAAATTTATTTTTGCGCGTTTTTATTTTCCGCTAAACTCAAGTGTGCACAAATTGAAAACACGCAGATTTTTCTGAATATATACCACGAGTGAGGTAATTACCCAGAGGCATTTCCACGGCCGTCTTCTTACAATTGGATTCAGTGTACTCTTGACGAGATTTCTCAGTTTCCATGCTTTTATTTTTTACTTTGTTTTGATGCCCTAAACTGATAATACCCTATCACCAATGCTGGTAAACTACCTATGAACAAATAAGACCTTCGATAACATGAATATCAGATTAAAGGTTAAATCATTGGTAGTGATGAGTTACTTGTTGGCATTAAATTACCCCTAAATTAAACTGAATGATTGATTGTAGGAGTAAACGCTGTCTGAATTCTGTCTGATGGCATTTAGAGTGACGTGTACTTAGTGACTCATCATTGAAAAAAGTGATTTGTTATTCATTTAAGAACACATATTCCATCAGTGATTACTTTAAGTATTTTGACAAAAGTTACTCTAATGTTCAGGAATTTAGTGAAACATTTATTCAGTGCTGTGTAATAATTATTTAATACGGGTATAATCAAGATTCGGCCCCGGATTTTCTAGAATATGATACACACACGCAGATTCAGACACTTTAAATAAGGGGGGGCGGAAGGGGAGCCCGTCATAGAGTACCTATATACTCGTAGGAAGAGTACCAACGCGTCGAAATATTGAGGTGTTAAGGCCCAAAAGTAGCCAACCTTCTAAGACGAAAAATGTGGCTGCCAATCTTCAGATTCCAATATCAAATCAAGATGGCCAAGAATTTTCATAAAATAATGAGCGCCCTTCTCCAAAAAGAGTAAATTTATGCAAAAGCTAAATCAAATGTGTGTTTTACAAACAACGGGGGCATAGCAATTGTGATCGTAAATTATTCTGTATGATTTGAATTCATAGGTTGGCTGCCCCTCTTGGCCCTAAGAGCTTTGTGGGTTATAGGACATTTCGTCAACGATTTTTTAATATGATTGTAGAGAAAAGAGTAGCCAAGGTGTTATATGTATATCCACTTATTTATTTAATACGAGGGTCATCCAAAAAGTAAGTTTCCCTACCTTGTATCTTCCAAACGAAAAGAGATTAATCAAATCGGTAAAAAGGCACATATTAGGCATACTCTAAGCTTTAAAACAAGCTCAAGTTTTTGAAAATCGGTCAAGGAGTTCGCGAGTAAACTTAATTTTACTGAGACAACCTCCTGTCGCCGCGTGCCCACCTCCGGGATCAGGATGCGCGGAGAGTCGATTATAGAAGACTCGGGTTATCGCCTCTATACATCACATCAACAAGAAATGTTAAAGTTTTCATTGAGTAACTACCTTACTAGTAGTTAGTAGTAGTTACCTTACTTTTTGACGTAGTCTCCACATCTTCTTTGACATTTTTGGTATCATTACAGCAGCTTCTTGACGCCCTCCGCGTAGAAGATCTCGTCTTGGCTCCGAAACTAGTCATTGACAGCGATCTGCACTCCCAAATCAGTTGCTTTGCGTAGGGAAATTTCCCCCCAATCCTTCAAACTTTCGTACTTTAGCTTCATGTGACTTTCATTTGTTTCCGAGCGGAAAAACTTCCACGATGGAAGCGATTTTCAACCGATTCAGAGGTACAGATTGCTGTCAATGACTGGTTTCAGAGTCAAGGCGAAAGCTTCTACGCGGAAGGCATGAAGAAGCTGCTGTAATGATACCAAAAATGCCAAAGAAGATGTGGAGACTATGTCAAAGAGTAAGGTAAGGCCTACTCAATGAAAACATTAAAATTTCTTGTTGATGTGATGTGTAGAGGCGATAACCCGAGTCTTCTATAATCGACTCTCCGCGCATCCTGACCCCGGAGGTGGGCACGCGGCGACAGGAGGTTGTCTCAGTAAAATTAAGTTTACTCGCGAATCCCTTGACCGATTTTCAAAAACTTTAGCTTGTTTTAAAGCTTAGAGTATGCCTTATATGTGCCTTTTTACCGATTTGATTTATCTCTTTTCGTTCGGAAGATACAAGGTAGGGAAACTTACTTTTTGGATGACCCTCGTAAAATATGCGCTAAAGCTTTTCGGCTTGCGGCCATCATCAGAGCTTGTTCATTAATTATTAAATAAATAAATAAATAAATAAGTGAATACACATATAACACCTTGGCTACTCTTTTCTCTACAATCATATTTCAAAATGGTGTCACTAATGAACGATTTAATAAATAACGATTTTTCGTCTGAGTACTTGTTTTTCCAGTAGTTTAAGTCCACGCCTTTTTTCGGCAGGGGAGTTTTGATCCACTTACCGATTATTGAGACCCAAAGTTAATTGGTCAACGTGTAAATACAAACAACATTTGCTCACGATGTTTTTGGATGAAATGTATGTCTTGGGAGAATGAGGGTTTGCTCGTTTTTTGTTTGCTTAGTTGGCCAAACGGAAACAAATATATAATTGAGAATTTTGGCGTCAATGGAGATTGGAGATGTTGCATCAGTGAGGAATTTGCGATTTGACTATTGATTCTTGCGAAAAAGTTCGCGAGAAACACGATGTGGCCACTGGTTTTCTCTGAAATTAACTCCGAAGCTCAAAAAAAGCTCTCAAGTTGAGGCCAAAATGGAGGGGATATTCCACGCCATTCTGAGAGTCCACCTCTACATCAAAACGAACTCTCCATGCAAAGATAGGGAGCTAATACATTGACAGGGCTGACTTTTTATTTGGGGACTCTAAAACTGAAAACACGGCATCACTGCTCATGTATTTGCTCCCTATCTTCGCATGGAGAGTTTGTCTTGATGTAGACGTGGACTCTCAGGATAGCGTGGGATATCCCCTCCATTTTGGCCTCAACTCGAGAGCTTTTTTTGAACTTGGGAGTTAATTTCAGAGAAAACAAGTGGCACCATCGTGTTTCTCGCGAACTTTTACATAAGAATCAACAGTCAAATCGCAAATCCCTCACACATGGAACATCTCCATTCCATGAGGGAAAATTCACTAAAACTTTCTACCAACACCTCTTTGGTGTAACAGGACTTAATTATCTTTCAAGAAAAGCCCATCTTCTTATACCTGAACCGGATGAGCCTTTTGATTTTCCTCAGCTAAAGGATCTTAGATTTTTCCTGCGTACTTTAACTTCAGGACGGCGCCGGCGTGCCGCGGCGCTTCAAACTACTAATTCGACATGAAAGTGTTGCACAGTATCATACAAGATTGAAGGCACCCCAACGTATCATGATTGATGGCATCTTTCAAAAGCACGAAGTTCCCTCGCAAATTAAATCGAGTGACGACGAAAAATAGAGAGTTGTAGTCGAAAAACTTGCTAAGTCCTAGTATCTAGACCCAGTAACGTTTAGCATGGTTTTCGAACGTATAGTTAGAGGAAAAAGTGGCTTGATTCAAGCAAAAATATGCTCAAATTTACCGCCGAGAAGATTTCCTTAAAAATCGATGAAGAAAATAATGCCTGTTTAGAGAAGAAAGGATGTTTAAATAAAAAGAAAAGTCACTTACATCAAGCAGAAACCAGCTTTCATTCAGCTATGTGATTCTTGATTTACAATAAAATCTTCTTGAGAGCATACTCAAGAATGTTTCTGCCTCAATCGAGTCACATTTTTCTCTAATGAAGTTCAAAAATTATGCTAAACGTTATTAAATACGGATGCTAGGACTAAGTGAGTTTTTTAGATCTCCGCTCTCTTTTTGTGACGTAGTATCTTGATTTATTTTGCAAGGAAAGCTCTGTACCCTTAAAAGAAGCTTCTCATTCTTGATACGTTGGAGTGCCTTCAATATCGTATGATACTGTGCAACACCTAGCGAAATAGTTGCTTGAAACACCGTAGCACTCTACAGCGCGGCGGGCGACCAGCGTGACATGCGCGTAGCCGCCTACAAACCTAACAGGGATACTTCACGCATTGCGCAACGCGTGAAGTATCCTGTTAGGTTTGTAGGCGCCAGTGCGCATTTTGCTCTGTGTTAGGCTCTAATATTTAAACTCGCGGAGTCAGCATTTTTCAACTCATGATTTTGAAATGCACGCTCTGCACGGATTATTCTCATTTAAATTGATGAAGAAAAAAACATATTTATTAAAGGAAAATATAACGTGTACTTTGAAAATATTAAGGTTGTTCCGTGTTTAATTTAATGATTTCCACAGCTTTTTAATACTTCTTTTGTATTTTGTGCTTTTTCTGTGCTGCGGCGTGGTGTATTCGCAATCAAACGCTCAAAATTGAACGTGTTTGCCTGTAAAAGATCGATGTAAAAGTGGGTTAAAACAAAAAATTGCGTCCTCCTTGGTTTTTTCTCCCTCTTTTTCATTTTTGTATATAGTTCCTTTCAACACAAGTACGGCTCATTCAGATCAATATCGATGCCATCGCTTGGAAAAGGTTTTAAAAGTATTTGCCATGTTTTAAAAATATAATGTTTTTAAAATAAAGTAATATTATCATTTAGAAAAAGGAATATATGTGCGGCATATTTTAAATCGACAATTTTATAGATAGAAATAAAACCAAATATTTACCAATGAAAATTTGAAACATGAATCAAAAGAAGAAAGTAATACTTTATTTAAAAAATGAGTTACCATAACAACATCTTCTTCTCTCTCAATTTTCTAATTCGATATTGTCAATATAATTTTACATACGGACTGAAATATATCCCTTGGACCAAGTCACTGTTTTTTATTTTACGCATGGACGTAAATTACTGGACTAAACAGGTGCCCGGACAAGAAATCGTTGACGGAATGTCCTGAAACCGCTTTATGACCTAATCTCAAAATACCGACATCTCCGTACTCGCCCTATGTAGGTACTCTGGTTTCTCACAGATAATTTTCGAAATTTTAAAGCATGTAATATGTTTTTTAAGTCCGTTTTATCACGACGCAAATAAGCGTTCTTCCTTATTTTTTCCTCCGTTCCTTTGATGCTAAAGCACCGCTTTAAAATAAAATTATTTTACTACTACTACTACCTCTTTCTTCTTTCTGTCTTTCTTTATTCTTTCTTTTTTTCTTTCTTTCTTTCTTTCTTTCTTTCTATTACTGTTACTGCCTGCTTGCACTTCTTGTCCAAATTCCCCCTTAACCGTAGATCACGTTCTTATAAGTTGCCCACTTTATAAAGATATCCGAAAACGTTTTTTTCCCTACCCCTTGCCCTCTCTTAAAAATTTACTTCTGAATACTCATCCTGTGAAACTTTTTGAATTTATGCGCTCCACTAATCTCAAAATTTAACCTTTCTCCTCAACCCTTTTGTATTTTTACTGATATTTCCATGTAAATTTATTACTGTTACTGCCCTCTTTAGAGGTGTAAATGACCTTAGATGCTAAAGCACCGCTTTAAAATAAAATTATTCTACTACTACTACCTCTTTAGAGGTGTAAATGGCCTTAGATGCTAAAGCACCGCTTTAAAATAAAATTATTTTACTACTACTACTACTTTCTTTCTTTCTACTCTTTTTCCTCTACCTGCTTTCCGAATAAACGGGGACGTATGCCCCCTAAGCTCCTCCCCCCCCGGATCCGCTTTAGTATATATTGATTTTAATCCACAATTAAAATTGAATCTAATTTTAAAGCGAAAAATCTGTGAGTATATGCGCCTAGGATGAGTCGATCTAGTGAGGGTTATTGGTAAGATAACAACGAGGGACGAAGAATTTTTATTGTAACGGCTGAAATATTTGCTGCGATTAAAAAATATGATGGTTTGTCCATTTTTCAAATATTAAAGTCTAATTTTGAGCTCTATATTTTTCAGCGAGACCAAGCTTATGAAAATAATCCGCAAGGCAAGCTGATACAAAGGATAATTAAATGTTTTTACACTGCCCAAACTTGGAGTTGGGGTATGTCCTCTCAACTGCATGTATTTTGGTGTTGTTCCTCGTCACAAACTTTTCACTGGCGGATGATGGAATCCTGGACGAGATGCCTAAAAAGGAAAGGATTAAGATGTTGAAGAAATGGAAAATAATTCCCGAGTGTATTTTCATTAAACCACGTCACGAGGCTCTGGTACGGTAAACAATTGCATTCAAAGTTCTAACTGTAATTACATGTAACTGTGCCCGTCCAGATGACAATTAATAAGGGCCTCCGTAAGCGGAAGATAATATTTCAGGAAATCTTTTTTTGTCAAGAGACGGCCAAAAAATTAGATTTAAGTTTCGGCTATGCTGAAAAAATCCTCTGCTTTGTCCAATCGGGTAAATTACGAACAGCTCCCCTTACCATAAGAGGACTTTCAAAAATACTTTTCATTTCTTCTTTATTTTATGTAAAAGTTATTTTCCGTTTTCACCGTTTTTTAAATTATTTTTTTGCTTGCACCGCGACTCACAGCCGTGTCGACCAGAGGCGGATCTAGCAATGTGGCAGCACCGGATTGCCTCCATTTAAATCTATGCTAAATAATCGATTCTTGTCGGAGCACCTGGCCCCTCCAAGAATCGATACATTTCATAAATTTAAATGGAAGAAAGACAATGTTGCCAATTTTCTGGATCCGCCAATGGTATTGACCAAGTAGATTTGTCGGAAGATGCCTCATCTCGAATATGATGAGAGTTAATGAGTATAATCAGACGTAAAGCTGTAATTTACTTGTTTTCCCACAGGTAAAGCACGAGGGTGATATTCCCATCAAATTTGGTACAGAAGTGAAACCTGCAGCAGACATGGCATGGCTCACTCAGAATATGCGTTGGAACAACACACCAGAAGACTTAAAAGTTTACTACTCTGCGATGCTAGTAGGTATGGAACTATTGGCAAAAACGTCTGTGTGTAACGTAGAGTGTTAGAGATACACCTCTTCAAAATCGCCCCTCTACTCTATGCATGCCCTCATTAAACGAGACCTTGAAATTTGTAAATAGAAATGTAGCACAAACAAATCAGTGATTGATAATACATCTTGGAATTAAGCCCGAGATTTAAAAAAAAGATTTGTTTGGCAAAAAAGAAGACAATAGTTTCCGTAAATTGGCAATTCAAGTCTATTCAACTTAAACTATAGTTTCACATCGAACGGGATATCATTACTATTTTGCAAATAAATTTACTGACCTCCAGTTCTCTCAAAAGTTAGTGAGGAAATAAAATGATCAAAGCCCTGTTGAACTTGGTCCACGTGAATGTGTGTTTTTTTACTCGGATAATTATTCGAACTCCTCGATATTTTTGTTACCTGTGCAACACAGACAACACTTGACAACATGTTCATTGTTCACAACATTATTTTTCAGTCCAAGCAAAGCTTACGGGCCGAGAAAATGTGTATCATTCTTCGAATAGATAACTATTCGCGCTCTCCGGTAAGTTTGTTGCATAAGCGACGAATTGTAGGCAAACTTAAAATGGAAGATTTGCCCTACTGCCTTCATAGCACCGTATATGGATCAGTCAAAGAATGTGGAGCGATATTGAAGTGAAGTTTTTCAGTAGATGTTCTATTCACTTCATTTGTATTCTAAGGAAAATTCGTCGCCTATGAGCTGAAATCGAAGGCAAACTCCTGGTGAACTATATCCGTAAAAGATTGGGAAGGATCTAAAATTCCTGCTACATGAAATTCATTGAAGAGGTACTGTTTTGTGATAAATCTTGGTTTCAAAACCGAGAAAATACGGTTAACTATGCAATTTGAGATAAATTGATGGCGGTAGGAGCTAATAAAACCTCTTTTTTTCGTCATTTAGAATCATTTGCATCCACCATTTTTTTCGCACATAAAAGCTCCATGAAGCCTAAGATAACGTATTCAGAGGCCATGGATATATACGCAGTCTAATGACCGTAGATCATAATATTAAATTATATCCTAGCTTTGCTTTCAGTGACAGGGTATAACGCTCGTACAAGTTATCTTCTCCGCATGTAAGTCAAGATGGCTAATTATACCGGAATCAAGAAGCTTATAACATATGCTATAAAATCATATCTTTTCTTTAGGTCTAGATGAGCCCTCAGTTCAGACTCCAAACCACCGTGAATATTTATACTGGCTGGTGACAAACATTCCAGGAAACAGAATTGCGGAAAGTCATATTATTGCTGAATATCAACGTCCCAATCCAGACGCAAATACAGGTTTGTGATTTCTGTTATCATAACTATTACTATATTAACATGCTATATATACCGCTTCCGTGCGCTCTGCGACACCCAACTGACACTGATAGCGATCCTGCCAAAACTCCCACGGCAAATCACACCTCATTTCCTGCCTATATTCCATCAATCCACGATTTGACAGGTGTCCTCTACGTTTTCTACTCGGAAGGCCCCAATCCAGAACCTTTTTAGTCAACCTATTATCTGGCATCCTTTCGCATGCCCACATCAGCGGCCGAATTTTGTCGGCCCTTTCATACAGAAATGCAACATCCATCGATGAGTCCAAACCACACCACCGGCCAATCAGAAGCGCTAAGCAGGACTTAAGTGCAACCAAGACTCGTCCTAAGTATATTTGAGTACGGTGAAAGGACCGACGAAATTCGACCCCAGACAAGCTGTTTCGTGAAAATGTAATGCATCATGTTCTTTTTGACGCCCATGATTTCACGTCTACAATCTATAAACTTTTTAAAAATTTTCAATAGCTAAACAATGTTAATCGGAAATTATCGGCAATTACTAGAAATGGATGCAACTAACTCATGAAACTACGCTTTTTGACCTTAAAACGTAAAACATTCATACCAGTTATTTCATTTCGGTTTGGTATTTTGGGCTATGCGTTTGTGTCGGTTGACTGTTTGAAAACCACTTCTCTAAGCAAAAGTATCGCTTTTCATTTTTTGCATTTCTGAACGCTATGGTCCCTTTCCCGTGCTTTTTAAAACTTTAATTTTATTTGTCTAATTTTTCCCCAAGGCATAGAAAGTAGTGATTCGGGAAGGGCTATCAAATAAGGAATCAGCATATGCTACGGTATTGTAATGCATTTTCATTCAAGTCACAATAAAGCAAATCCAAAATGTTTCAAAAATTATTCTCTGTTTTGTTTTGAACGCACCCTAGTAGCATGATTCACTTTCCCCTTCCTAACAAACGTATAAGGAATTAATACCG